CCAGCTTGGCTACGAACAGGCATGACTGCAACATAATCACTCCCAATGCAAAGGTGAGTTGCCGGAGGTTCATCATTGGCACACACGAGCCATGCATTTTTCCCAGTTGGTCTAATTGCAGACGCAGTCCATCCCAACTCATGCAAGGCTGCAGTGACGGCATCACATGTGGTGGAAGTGTTCAAGTTGCGGAGAACCCACCAATTTGCACCTGCTGGGATTTCACCTTCCTGCATGGAAATTCCTTGAGGCAACGCATTCCTTCTGATCTCTTGAATAAACTCACGTCTGGCACGCAATGCATAGACCCCGTTTTGACCCAGTTGGACAACTCCCAAAACATTTTTCAAGGTCTTGGCCAGCTTGACAACCTCCTCCAGGGACTGACCATGCATGGCAACGATTCCAAATCGGGGGTCCGGCTTTTTGTTGTCAGCTTTCACTTGCAAGAAAACGCCTGCTTGACCAGAACGAACCAGGGTAGCATGCAACAATTCTTGAGGGATTTTGACAAACCCATGGGCATAAGTTCCCTCATTGTGCTTGCACTTCTGACGCTTGTCATCATATGTTCTGAAATTCCACGTGGCAATGACCTGGCCCTTTCTGATTTCAGGAAGCTGGAGTCCAAGATAATTCAGTGGGTTCTGTACATCTTGCCATTGGTTTACCAAATCTCTCATGATAAAAACTTCAAGTGTCGCAGTTGGCGTTTCTTGCAAATCAACCTTGGGCAAGTTCGGTTTGCACTGCACTTCAATGTCACCATAGTTGAGGACCACTGCTGATGTCAGAACTGGTTTACCTGTGATTTCAGTGGCGGGCAAAGCAATCGGCGTTTGGCCTGCAAATGGCTCCTTAGTCAAAACCACCAATGCCAAGGGGTCAGGAGAAATTTTGTTGACAGGCAGAAGTTTGGTGGCTTCAGCCGTTGTTGCGATTGCAATTCCACACTGATCAGGACCCCATTGATGAAGCTCAATGATACCAATTTTCCCCATTGGGCATGTGAAGTGCTTCGGATCGATAAAAACCTTCTTCAGAGGTTCTCCTTTGGGTGGAACCGTTTGACCTGCTCTGGTTCGGTCTGATTCTTTCTTTTGAAGCACTCCCTCAGCTGCTTTCTTCCTTTGGAGTTTCTGGTGATCCTTCAACTCTGCATTTGTAATCAACCTGATCTTGACCTGGTTTGCCTTTGTTTTCAATTCATCCCATGCCATCCTATCATCTTTGGTCAAAATGGTGGATAACTCAGCACTGTCAATGGTACCAACAATGAGTGCCGCTCTGGCTGCCAAAGCCTCTTCAGGGACTCCTCTCTGTGCGAGAATTGGCCTGAGTTTGTTGGCATTGGCTTCGTTGGCTTTTTGGTTGTTCTTGGCTCCACCTGGTAAGGCACAAACGCGGAATTCAAGCGTTGGCTGCCCTTCAATTTGACCCACTTGTAAGCGTGGGTCCACACTTTTGCCATTGAGCAACGTCATGATCGTCAGGTCATTCTTGATCTCGGATAAAGACTTCGCAACAACATGCAAAAGTGCCTCATCAGCCTGCAGGTTTCTGGGCTTGGCCCTGTAATCAAATGGTCCTTTGACCCACATCTGAATTGAGTTTCCTTCCTTGCAGTGAAAGGCACTCTTGACACTGAAATGAGTGATGACCACTTCCGCAACTGGCCAAGGCTTCGCAGTGGAAAAATGAATGCAGCATTCACCCTCAGGCAAATCTCCAACTTTCACAACTGGATCCACCGGTTTCTCGTTGCAACACATGACTGGCGGTGTCAGTGACATGAAATCCGGCAGCAACCTGCTGATCACTTCTCCGATACAAACATCTTTGGAAACAGCACATGAGCGAACTGTACCCCATTTTGGATTCCTGACCGTGAACCTGACCACACCTGGGTGGAAGAGAGAGCCCTCATCAGATTGGATAGGCTTTTTCAATTCGGCAATTTCTGGTTGAATACCCTCCTTGGGAAATTCCATGTCCATGACAACAGATTCTGCCTGGAAGTGCAATTCTGGAATGGACAAAACATACTCTTCTGGGAACATTCTTTTTCCCGCAACCAAAATCTGCAACGTGGAAGGAAGGACTGCTGCTTCAGTCGCCACAAATGCACACAGATCGCTGAACTTCCAAGTCACATCAACCTCAACGACCAATCCCAATTCCATGAAAGGCATTACAACCGTTCTTGCGAAGCAAAAGGGACGAAAAAGAATGTTGAGTTGTCCTTCACCCACCGGTGTGGAACCAAACCATGCTTTTGCACCATTGACTTCAATGTGATCAAAGTGTTCTTGTATGGCATGCGGCAGAACACACTGCATGATCACTTTAATTGGCCACATTTTCGGAATGACAAATGCCGCGGTCCAAAAACCTTGTGAATGCAAAATCTTTACCAACACTTGCTCTTCAACCGGAGGAGGGCAGTTCGGCTGGATAGAAAAGAAAAAAGGCATGCCTGTCTGAACCGTTTTGGTGCCAACGGTCATGGTTGCCAAGTCGGGGCATTCATCACGATTGAGCTCTGGGACCAACGTAGGCTCTTCATGCATGCATTGCCATGTTGGAGAAACACAAATTCTTTTTGCAGGGCTGGAGCCTTGGCAATCATGAATCTCATCTTCACTTGAGTCCTCAATTGTGGTGGCAACTGCAATGGTTACCGGTCTTTTGGGCTTGAGTGACATGATTCCATTTTCCTTTGTCGTCAAGAAATCCGACAAATTGCACTTTTGAGCCAGGACCATTTCACATAGATGAGCTACACTTCGCAATTTCCCTGCAAACCCCGAGTTTTCACCAAGAAGGACCCATGCTCGGAGACATTGGATGGCTGCCTGTGGAACAGCTAATGCATTTCCTACCATGTGCCATGCATCCTGAAAAACATCTGGTAATGCGGTCGATGAAGGAAATCCCATTGCTGAGCAAATTTCAAAAGGGGTTGCAAACCTCAGGCATTCATTGATTTTCAGTAGAAAGGAATACAGTCCTTTCTCACTCAGGAGTTCTTTCGGCAGCAAATGTTGGCTACCCTGCGCTGCCATAACATTGGGCAGTGGCTGTGTTTCATCTCTGATTCGCAGTTCGAGAACATCTCTCAATGACAACGATTTGGTGTCTTTTCCCCTCCAATTGACTGGCAAAAATTCGGGATTCCCCAAAATCTCCAAAACCGAAGCATCTGGAACACACTGCAATACTTCCCAGCTTTGCAATTCGTTTTGAACACATCCAAAGAGGCCGATGGAATTCTGTTCACCAATACCTGTCAGGGATTTGGGGAATGCCAATGAGTTGGCCATTGACAGCTTCTGATCGGAAAACAAGACATCTTTCCTAACACATGTAGCCAACCATCTCACACGCATGATAGGAAGAACAGGCAAGGCTTTGTCACGACTGGACAGGACAAGATGGAAACCAGCCTTAGACATGACATCCCTAAGGGCACGGTAATGCTCATGATCGGGTAGGCCAGGTACATTCTCCAAATTCAGGCATTTCACTTTGCAAACTCCCGTCCAAAAAAGAAAAGTAGCAAACACACTTCCTTGTGGATCAGTGAGTCCCTTCAACCAGCCGGCCCTGGACCATGGTTGACATGGAGGTGAGGCGAGCCACGTGCAAATATTCATGAATCCTGCAATGATATAGACCATGGGGTCACCGACATCGGCAAGGAGGACAAATGACTTTGGAAGACGCTGGCTTTCAATGGCTTGCAAGGCATCACTACACGTCAAGACAGGCATGTCATGGTTACGACCACACACTTCGGCTGTACTCCTGTCAATTTCCACCAGCAAGGCTGGTTGGGTTCCATTCCATTTCGATCCATGAGTCCACCCACCTAAGCCACTGAAGGCCTCAGCAACTTTGGGATCATCCTTTCTAGGGTGGAGGATGGGCAAGAGCAGGTCACCCTTACCAACAATCATCAAACATTCATTGCCTCGCTCAATTGAAAAATCACGGACAGTGAAAGTCATGCCACTCTTCATATGATCTGCAACCCAGTGAGGAAACATGCAGTGAAAGGTCATGAAACCAACCGCAGGTTCAATCGGGGTAGCAATCACACATTCCTTGTAATCGACCATCATGAGATCCAATCGAAGTCCTTGCTGAAAAGCATCCTTGGGGGTAAGACAAACCCCACAAGGATCAAATTGCGACACATCCATGGCCCAATCTGATGAATCCTAGTCACGCCTGGGACGTTTGGGCCGAGACCTCTCCTAACCACTGGAAAGTAGCTTTCGGTGGAGATGTTTTCTCCTGGACTCTTGCGAGTGGCACATGATCTTTGGATTCTGGGGAATGTCTAGACTCAATCCATACTGGTTGGTAGTATACCTACCCCTCTGAATAATATGAGTTCGTCAGTTGGGATGATTATTCTTAATTTAAAAAAAAAAACAACCAGCATAATTTGAGACCGTCACATCCCCCATGTGCGTTTGCGAACTTATGTTCTTTGGTGAAGCGGGTAACCTCTCATAATCCAATCTAGCAGGTGTCCCTAGATCCAGTGCGTTAATCATCGCTTGCCTCTTCAAAAATGCCATTTGGGGGGTATCCATCATTTTCAAACACACCCATATGGCTTTGTCTGAAAATATGGTATCCCCCGAATCCTCTGGTTTCTCATATTCCCTATGAAATAGCATGAAATGTGTATCCCCCATTTTCGTTGGCACATCCGATGATGTCATATCAAGTTGGCTATCTCCCCGTTCTATCCTGATATTGCTGCTTAAATCTCTATCTTAAAATGTCAAACAGACTAACAGACCCATATGGAGGTTCATGAAATGGGAGTACCCCCAAATCATCATTTTTATTTTCGGATTTTCCAGGAAATAAACCATCCAGCTATTGGGGTACTCCCATTTATGGAAACCACCATATCCATTGACACATAACTTGCACCGAAAAATTGCCGACTTCCATGGCCACCCTGGTCTCGGGCCCCAGACTTTGGGCGGCCACGTTGGAAGCTTTCGCCTGGCTCCTGGTAAATCCACTCGAAGGTCAGGAAGAATTTAAAGAATGATCAATGGGACCATCTTTAAGTCTCTCTCCAAAAAAAAAAATATATATATATATATATACCCGTATACCCTCTGGTCAACTAACACAACTATGGAAACTCATCATTTTTCATGGGTTAATGAACGACCTCAATGGCCATTTTCAAAAGCAAGCTGTTACCAGAGGGTACCCCAATTTATGGCCATTTTGGGAAAATCATGAGCAAAGCCGCTTCTAGGGGACCGCGACCACGATATGGAGATTGAGACATTCCCAAAAAAACATGAATAAGAGGAGTCCAAAAAACCAAAAACAAACAGCTGTGATGTTTGCTCCAACAACCATGTGAACATATTGATACTCACCTTGTTTTATGGTACCATTTGGGTTCAGAAACCTAACCATTTTGGATGAAACATGCTTTAGGTCATGGTGAAATGATCATCTTTGGATCCCCCTACTGGGATGGTCAGACTCCGATGCAACATGGGTTTGCCCCCAATGATCTTCCTATCAATGGACTGATTTAGTCGGGAAAATCTTAACCGGAAACAGATGGTTAATGATGGTTAATGATGGTTAATGGTGGGTAATGGTGGTTAATGATGGTTAATGGTGGTTAATGATGGATTGGTTTAAGGGAAAAATTGCAGGAAACCATGGATTTCCCCATTTTTCATATGGGGCTTTCCGGTTTCAATTTTCCCCTAAACCAATCCATTGATCCTATGGTTTCCCTGCTGAAAATTAGGGGTATATAGTGTTGATAAAAAACCGGCCGGCTACCTTGTTGAAAAACTGACACTTTTGTTGGTCATTGGTCAATCTCCCATCACCCCCAGAAACAGCAGCCACTTCAGGATAATCGTCCAATTTCCAGGTATAAGGAAAAGAGATTCTGGAACCTTCAGCTGAGCCATTGATCATACCCCTTTTGATTGGTTAAGTAAAGGTGGTTGTACGAACTGGTTGATTGGGGATTATAAGAAGCAATAACATACCGATTCGGCAACCAGTATGTCATGGGACGGGAAAACGGGTATTTTCATGACTCACCTGGGCCATGTTATTGCCAATCCCGGATTTCACAGGTGACAGTGCCACTTCTCTTGGTGAAGTTGTCCCCCTAATGTGCCTCCTCCCCAAGACTGGACAACCTTATTAGGTGGGAAAAGAATCATAAACCTCTATCATAGGCTTATTCAACCCCTAGTGTTGGGAGGGTACCTTTCTTGGGTGCGCATCCCAGCTTCCAAGTGGGAAATCACCATATGACATCACCCAATTAGATTCATGGATGAAAACCGCGGTTTCATTTTTTATGTGGCTGATTTGATAAACCACTTACCAATAGGGTTTGTCTGAAAATAGGGTATATTCCCAATTATAGCCATTTACTAGGGATAATGATCATTAACCATTGGGTTTAGGGGTACACTATTTTCAGACACACCCAATAAAGTCCACAACCGCATGGTTCCATCATAACCTGCTGCCTTGTGTCCACCCCTCGCTCCTCTTATCTCCAAGGACCAAGAAGGCACAGCGCGCCTGACGTTGAGACGCCAACGCCGGCAGCGAACGGTGGTGAAGTGACGCTTCTTGAGATGAATGTTATCCAAGGTGGCAACGGAAAATCCCCTATAAATTTGGGATTTCAATGGGAAAAGCATCTGAAAATTGTGGATTTTGCATTGCCATGTTTGATTACCGGAGGGTATACAGATCTGTATAATGTATGTATATATATACATATATATATATATATACACATGCAAATAAATGTTTCGTGCTCAGAGTCTCTTGTAGCATATGTGTCCATTCACACACTAATCCCATCCCCCGCTCTTATTAAGCACTCCCCATAAACCCTGCGTTCAGTAGGGGATTTACACATAGTTGGGACCATGAACCATAGGGGTGTTGAATATGGGGGATGGGATTAGGGCGATGTTCCAGCGGACCTGATGGGGGTGATGTACCAACTGATGGCAGTTTTGTTTTCATAGTTGGTTTTAAGTTACATGTATCCAAAAAACAGGATCACAGAACTATTACCTGGGCTTGGTCATTCCCTTGGCTATACCGGCAATACCCATAAAAAGTCAAGGTACTGGCTAAGCCTTGGAAAGTGAATGCAAAACACTGCCTGCCCAAGGTCTATGCGCCTGCTCTGCTACCCCTGCTGCTTCTTGCCGATTCTTGAAAACCTCCACCAATGGTCCTGGCGAAGGTGCGATTTTGTCGTGCTGCCCTTCGTTCATCGCCAAGTAGGGTTTATGATAGCTATATGTCTATGATATCTATGGGGCCCAGTTGGGGACATAGATCTGCAATTTGGCGAATGGTCTCATCCATAATCCCGAACCTCAGCTGACATCAAAACAATGGCTGAAATAAGTTAACCATCAGCTACAGTAGTTCAACCACTTCAAGCTGCATCTTTGATAGTTAGGTTCGCATGCTTGTGGGTTGAATCATCTTGTATACAGTATTTTCCGTGTCAATTTTTATGAAACTCAATTCTTGGCTCATGAAGTTCCCACTTTTTGAGGTCCAAAAAAAGTGCTGGTCAAAACGTGTGTGATAGGATCAAAGCATGGTGTATGGTGCATGGTGATCCCACCATCACTAGCTCTTTCTATTGGCGGGACGACCATCGCCATATTTCGAGGCATTTATAAATTGATGGCTAAAGACACATCCATCTATCAATCTGGATAAATCAGGGGCTTGTCTAGAGTCTAAAATGATTTTTTACCCAACAAATAAAGGGTATGACTAATCTCCAACAGATACTACAAAACAGGACATTTACCGCTTCCTGATTCATGTTGATGGTGACAAAATGTTGCAACATACTGGGATACAAACTTTACATGGGATTTAGTGATCAAACATTATGGTTTACCCTCTGGTAAACGTTTACATAACTACGGAAGATCACCATTTTCAATGGGTAAATCCACTATTTCGACTGGGCCATGGCTTCAATAGCTATGTAACAAATTACCATAGGGTAACTAGCAAAAAATGTGTTTGTGTGTGACACTTCTTGGGTGCACGTCCACGTCGCACCCAGCTGACACAGACCTTCGTAGCTCAACAGCGCAGCGGCCAGTTGCAGCTTGGCCGTTGCCTGTAATGAGGTTCAACTGTCTGACGACAACAACAACAACAACAATAATGATAAATTTTAATCAATAATATAACCACTATAAAATAATAGTGATATCCATTAAATAACTATTAATAGTTTTAAAATTAAGTGATATTCAATAATAAATGGTGAATTACTTTGGAAATAAATAGTGATATCCAATGATAATCAATAATACGATCAATAATATAGCCACTTTACATTCAACAACATTACTTACGTTGATTCTACAACAACAGCCAAACACGGCAATGGAATTACTCAATAATGACAGCAATAAAGAGTGCAGTGTTTTATGTCGGTTCACTTTACACGGACGTAACAAAATGCTTCCGCAAGAGCTTGTGTAATCAACAACGCGAATTATATATTATGAAACACTGACGACGCTCAAATGGTTATTCACCATGGCAATATATAGGAATATCCCTCTAAATACTGAATCAAATGGAATGAAGCAACAAGTGGGAAAATCATGGAAATATATAACTTATCTGGCCGGCCAGATGGGAGGACTTTACTGGCAATACATGAGTTTCAACAATAAATGGATCAATTGGACATACATGTGGGCTTATTTTGCCGGCCATAGATTCGGGAAAGAACTGGCAATACATGGTGGGATTTTGGGAATTAGGATAAAATACCAGATAGAATATCAGATATACTAAGCGATGAGTCATAATCACAGTTTGCCTGGAAGCGTTCCGGTGATTATGATATTGATGATTGTCGATTGTTATTACCATTCAATGGAGCAGGTTACGAAAAAAACTGCAGGAAACCGGCTATTTTCCCCACTAAATGTGGGGTTGCCGGTTTCAATATTCCCTTCAGTGAATTCTGAAACTCATAATGAGAGAACTCATATAGACCTGGAAAAGAGCATAAATCTATATGGCATGATACTTGGGGTATGTATAACAACCAAAAATACCTGAAACATCTGAACAACCAAACAGTAACATGGGATAACCACCACTAATGACGAACACCAATCGAAATCGAGAGGTCACCGGTCACCAACCAAAGTTGCACACAGCCAGTTGGAAGTTTAGATACTCCTAGCAACGGCAACAACAACAACAACAACACCTTCAACGGCACTGAAAATGTTCGTCTTGATTATTGAACTAGCGATCCAAGAAAGACAGAATGATTTTTGTGTCAATTGGCCAAGTCTGGAAATATATACTGTATCTGCAGTATTAGTTCATGACGGCATATAAGCAGTCAAAACCTTCGGGTTCCCACGTGGTCGTTCACCATGCCTGAAAATCCCCATTTGGCCATAGATCAAAAACCTATCAGTACGCAAGCTTTCACATTGGAATAGGGTGTGCTCATGGATGTTCACCTAAAAACAATAGTATCCCAGAAATCCAATGACTTATTTCCCACTGGGTTGGAAATTATCACCACGATGATGTGTAGAATGAGCCGTTTGTTTGACTTTCAGGGCCTTATTCAATGGTTGAAACCCATATTTTGATGGTATAATTCCCATTGAATCACCATTAAATCCTCTCAAATCACCATCACATCCCATTACAGTAAATTCCAGATACCCTCCGGTAAATTAACATAGACCCTGGCAGATAGGGGTTGGAAGACTAGTTTCCATTAAAAATTGGTGATTTTCAGGGTCCATGTTAATTTACTGGAGGGTAAATCATCGATTTGTTTGACCCATGCTATCTTGAGACGGGCGAAAACCGCACATTCTCCGCATCAATACAACCGCACCTCGCCCCGCGCATCCTTGGCGGCCCCAAAGAAGGGCACGGCCTGCAGCAGGACGCAAGGGCGGAAGGCTGGGGGAATTATTGGGATATCATAGGGATAGGTATATAATAGTAGGGATCTATTGGATATTAAATATACATATGATATTCTATATATATATAGATATATACTTATGATATGTGATATATATATATATGATATACATAGAATATATATATATGTATATATGTGTCTGGTTATCAACCAACCGGGGTTTTGAACACCGCTCATCTTCATCCACAAAATCCATCGCCTGTCGGAGGAGCTCGCATGCCTCCGCCGCATCCGCCTGTGGCTGGAACCGAGTTGGTTTTTCAGCAGGGATTTGTTTTTAAGCATCGAAAAAATATGGCTTTCACAAGAGAAAAATTGGACTTAAGATATTGTGTAAGCCTGATAAATTATGGTTTTCACTAACAAAAATGGGGATTGAAGTAGTAAAAGTATGGATTGAACTACCACAATTTTGAGGATCTACAAAAAAACATTGCAGGTGAACAACCGACCATTGGGCATTGGCAGAGATCCAATAAAGGTGGGGATGTAATCAATCAAGGTGCGCATCACCATGGGGATGGTGGAGCCTGCATGGTATACTAAGATCAGGCATTTCTTGTAAAATTGCAAACTCTTAACTCTCAATATGTTTTTTTTATAAATCAGTTTTAGTGATTTAGAAATCATTTTTAGAGATTTAGAAATCTTTTTTAGTGATTTGGAAATCATTTTTAGTGATTTGGAAATCATTTTTAGTGATTTAGAAATCATTTTTAGTGATTTAGAAACCATTTTTAGTGATTTATAAATCACTATTAGGTTGCTCATCTTTTATTAGTGAATCTTAAATGAATACACTAGTACCATGATTCAAAAAAAAAATGTGTTGGTATTTGGCCTTATTCACTGGCCTGCAAGCCAGACACCACTTTCTCACGCACTTTTTGTTTGGAACAAATTACCAGAAAGTGTTAACCAATAGATACCCAATTATTGCATATATCATCAATATATCATGGGGAGATATGATGTTATTCCAACAGATATCACATATATCATATATGACCAGTATATACCATATATAATATGTATATATATATATATACATGATCAACCAAAATATTCATCATTTCTCATCAACAGATACCCAGATTTTTTTTTCCATATACCATCCATATATTCCATACCCTCTGGCAAACTTACATAACTATGGAAAATCACCATTTTCAATGGGAAAACTCACTATAAATGGCCATTTTCAATAGCTATGTTAGTTTACCAGAGGGTCTCTCTCCATATATTCCATATCTCCCCATGATATACCCGTTCTATCCTCATATAAACCCACCTTTTCCCCGGGCTCCCACTGGGTTCCCCCCACTGCTGCCGCAGCCGTGCAGAGCGCGAGGCCGCGAGCTGCAGGGTCGCTGCCTCGGTGGCTATGAATGGTAGAGAGATATCCATAGCTATTATTTATAGTATATATTTATAGTGTATATATATACATATATGTGTATGTATATATATATATGTATATATATGTGTGTATGTATGTATGTATGTATGTATGTATGTATATATATATATATGTGTGTATGTATGTATGTATGTATATATATGTAGTGAATATTTATAGTTATCTATAGTTAATCTATAGTTAGTCTATAGTTAATCTATTGTTATATGTAACTATCGTTGTAGATGCGTATCTATCACGAATATTTCAAGTTCATCTATAGTTCATGAATTATAAGATATATAGTGCTTATTTATAGTATAAGATAGCATACTGATATATGAAAAATATAGATATAACTGTAGTCAATAAAGCATAGATGTATATCTCTAGTGCATATTTATATACTGTATATATATAGTCTATAGTTGTACCATATAGTCATATAGTTAATGAAGGTTATAAATATAAGCCAACTTTCATGGTTCTCACATCATATATATGATGTGTCCATGTATTGCTGTTTGAATTGGTTGAATACTTGGATGTCTACTATTTACATCATGGGATTCTATATTTTTTTTTCAATAGATGCCTTGATAAATATATAGAAGAGTTTTTGGTGGGTATTGAATATATCCGTAGCTATTTTCCTCTCGAGGAGTGCGAATCTTTTTCCGTCAGGCGTCAGAAATTTGCAGGATGTGCAAAAAAGAATAGTACATATTGAACATGTTGTACATGTTGTACCATCTGGTTATTTAACATAGCCATGGAAAATCCCCAGCCATAAATGGAGGTTTTAATCTTTATGGGAAAATCATCTACTGCCATGGCTTCCATGGCTATGTTAGTCATAACCAGAGGGTACCCCAAGTATCATGCCATATAGATTCATGGCTTTTCCAGGTCAATTCATGAGTTCTCTTAGAGCTTGTGAGTTTCAGAATAGTACATATTAAACATAGTGAACATGTTGTACATGTTGAACATTCGAAAATATAACAAAATTCTTGGGGATAGATTAAGCTGGCAAGATTCGCACCAAAACCCATGGGGTAACACGCCACTATGGAGGACAAACGTAACAAACATGGGATCTGAGCTACTAATCAGTTCCTAATCCCATTGAAACCTACTGAAATAGCAATCATCAGTATATACATGTAGGTTTATGGCTATTTTAGTATGTATATACGGATTATTATACATATATTTATCACTATATACTAATATTTTTTATCCTATCCTATCATTAGTATATATGTATAATACTATACATTGGTATATACCTACTATTGCTATCTACTATACCTCCTACCTCCATGACCTGGGCCGAGTCGCTGAGCAAGTCTGCGGCCTCCTTGGACATCTGTAGGGCCTGTCAACGTTGGAGGTCAACCCTGCAAAATTGTTGGCAGAATCACCCATCCAACCAATCTACCCTCTGGTTATGACTAACAGTTTGCTATTGAAAATGGCCATAGAAATAGTGGATTTTCCCATTATATAAAACTGGTGATTTTCCATAGTTTTTTGTATGTTTACCAGAGGGTATACACAATGATTGGCTGATTGGCTGATGTAATCCACAATTTTTATTACGGTAAAATTGGTTGGATGGGTGTATACCATTCTATACCAAAATCACCCATCACCCATCCATGTATATATTATGATGTTATGTTGGCTTTAAATAATATCTATATCCAATATAGACTATATATCCAATATTTATGGGTATGTATTGTAAAATTGTTGTTTTATCCTATGACTTTCCCATTATTGACAGTATTCAAATGCCCATATATTCCATGTTCATCATCGATATATTCTATATGGGTTTTTCTTAAAATGAGAGATCCCGAAGTCAGTTTCAGTCATGGTCTAATAATAACTTGGATGATTTGGGGGTACCCGCATGACTTAGGAAACCTCCATATTGCTAGCGGCAAACCATAGGGTTGTATCAGCAATAAATGGAGGCTTAATCAGCCATGAATGGGGGGTTCATCAGCAATGGAGCTTGAATCGGTTACCCTCCGGTAAACTACCATAACTATGGAACATCACCATTTTTAATGGGTAAATCAACTATCAATGGCCATTTTCAATAGCTATGTTAGTCATAACCAGAGGATAACTGGCAAGAATTGGAAATTACTCTGGATGGCCACTGGGGAGAACCGAAGTCCTCCCCATATTTCCTGCTGAAATCACGGATTTCCGCATGGAAGCGACCTGAAACCCGAGGGATCACCCACAGGAAAACCATGGAATTCGGCAACATGTTGAAATATATATATATGTTTTATATACCCAATGATGTTATATATACCCAATAATATTAATATAGATGTTATATATATATATACTCAATGTTATAGGTATTATACATATATATATATATAATATATATATAGATATGATGTTATATACCCAATGTTATTGGGGATTGATAATGATCAAACGTGGCAATGGAAAATCATTCTGAGTCTCATCAAAAATTCTCATTCTGAGTCTCATCAAAAAAACATGAAGATCAACGGAAGTCAAAAACCTCTAGAAATAAACTAATAACCTTAATTCTAGCCCCGTTTCTGCTCGCAAAACTTCCATCTCTTGAAATCCTCCGTTCTTGCTGATCAATACCCTATTTATTTAGCCATTCTTGCTGCTTACCCTCTGGTAAATACCATTATCTATTATATATAGATATGATGTTATATACCCAATATCCCAATGTTTTTGGGGATTGATAATGATCAAACGTGGCAATGGAAAATCTAATCATTTACAGATTTTTGTTTCGGGGATTTCCCACCCCCTCCACATCGCCACGCCACGTCGCCTCCTTGGCTTGTCCCAGCACCAAGCAAGCGCTAGCGCAAGCGTGGCTGGCGCGACCCGCACCCGACCTTGGTTTTCGGTGCGTTTCTTGGAGAAAACCATGGGAAAAAACCGAGCGGTTCATAGTGGTTGATCATGGCACTGATAAGAATGATCGATGGGTGGATTTCAGTATGGCCATATTCTTATCAATAACCAGAAATAACCAGAAATAACCAGAAATAACCAGAAATAACCAGAAATAACCAGAAATATACAACCAGAAATAACCAGAAATAACCAGAAACCTGAATATGGCCTCATGATCATCCATGAATATGGCAAACTTTGCAATATTCAGGTTTTATCTTTTTGAGGACCCGGACTTAGAAATTTTGACCTTTTCCCGGCAGATTTTTGTTTGAACAAGTGGTTATCCCCACTAGCCATCATTCTACCGCAGTGAGGTAATCTATGCAGATTATCCCATTAGATATACCACTGTTTAGCAGATGATATACCTATAAGGTGGATAAGTTGGTTATCCCATGGAAAAAAAAAACGTTCTATCTGATATCGAAATTTGACATCCCTTATTTTGGCTGGAAAAAAACTCCCCGCTAATACCATTGATCATGATTAATCCCCAATACATTGGGTAGTATACTTGACAGTAATCATTCATTGATTATCATATACCCTCTGGTAATTTAACATAGCTATTGAAAATGACCATTTATAGTGGATTTTCTCATTGAAAATGGTGATTTTCCATTGCTATGTTAGTTCACCAGAGGGTATCACTACTGAGAATTATTGAGAATTGACCAAATATATTGAATTATATAGACAAGCATCATAATCGATAATCCGTGTGTTCGTATAATTTCCATAAACCGATTATATACCCATCATCTTGGATTTGCTTAAGGAACCAAAACCAAAAAAACTTCCGCGTGGATTCCCCTAGTATATAGTAGTAGATTTCCCCTTGGGAAAATAATCAAAAAAATTCAGCAAATCCATGATTTCAGATTATCCATTGATTATCCCATACATATCCATCAATGGAGGTTTCCATAGTCATGGGGGTACCCCAAACTCGCTGGATGGTTTATTTCATGAAAAGCCGAGGATGATAACTGGGGGTACCCTCTGGTAAACATACAAAAAGCTATGGAAAATGGCCAGTTATAGTGAGTTTTCCCATTAAAAATGGTGATTTTCCACAGTTATGTTAGTTTACCAGAGGGTACCCCTATGACTCAGGAAATCCCCATTTGAATATCCACTGATTCCCGCGAATCGCACAGAAAAACCTCGCTCGGCCGGCACTAGGGATCCCCGACGTGTCGGAGAGCTTTTTGGCTAATGTTTGAGCCTGCCAGTCGGATGGATCAACGGATGGCTGGAAAGTCCTAGGGGTTTTTTTAAGGTTTCACGTCACGTCAAATGCGTGCCTTTCCCAGAAAAGTGCGGTTGGAACCTGGGGAGAAAACGAAGGGAACATAAGACCAGGTGTTTTTCTCAAAGTAGATCAAGTAATTTTCCAGTAAAACCATATATTAAATCCATATAAATTGATGCTTTATATCACCCTTTTTTTGGTAAATAACCATTCATCCACCATCACCCATTGTTTATATGGGTGTGTCTGAAAATAGTGTACCCCTAAACTCAATGGTTAATGATCATTATCTCGTTTTTAAATGGCTATTTCATTGGGAATATACCCTATTTTCAGACAAATCCATATGATTTTATGGATGATTTATATATGTGGTATAGCTTCTAGATTGATTGGAATTTATTGGAATAATGTGATTGAGATGAGTCAAGAAACTGGTGAATTGGGTATCATCCACCAACCAGTAAATCTTGAGATCCCATTGCGAGCACCCAGGAGGGCACCTCCCCGGCCCGGCTCTTGGCGGCTGCGGCGTCACCCTTCTGCAGCTTCAGCGCGCTTAGAGAAACCAAGAGGTCAACCTACAGCGGAAGGAAACACTCCCCGCCGTCGCGGTAAAGTCGGGGCGCCAATGAAGGTTTATACCCCATAGTTCGGCCAAGATATAGATATATTATCATATTCATATACATATATATATAATATGTATATATATAATGTGTATGTATATATATAATATATTATATATATAATATATTATATATATATATGTGTATATATATATATATTTATACGTATGTGTGTGTGATTTTCTCTTTTAATTTGTCTAAGTAATGTTTAGTGATTGATTAAAAACATTTTATGGTGATATGATGGGTACAAAGCCAACTCAACATAACTCGATATGACACATGCACAAGTGTTGAATGGGTCCATCTATCAAACTGCGTTGTATCCCCCATATGCTGGGGGCGGCTGCCACTTAGCAACTGGGATGCACATCCAAGTAAATGATGAATTTGAACTTTTATAGGGAAAAAATACGTTTGAACCAAAAGAACTGTGAAATCCAAGGAGTTGCGAGACGTTCAGCAAGATAAGAAAGATGGAGATACGAACAAAAATAGGGTGGCGGCGTAAGCAACAAAAATTTGGGGGATTCACCAAATAACCAAATACCAGGGGCCTAACCTGGATTTGGACGATGATCTGGAGGGTTACTGGCGATAACCTTAAATTGAGGCTATTGCATGCAACCAACAAAATCGGAAAATCGGTGGGGATGCAACCTCTCTCTTGAAAGCGGATAAGAAAAAGGGGTGAAGCAACAAAACCAATCAGGCCAGTTGAACCATCCCTGCTGTCAAGCCGTGCTCAAGTTGAGAAAAGGAAGGTTGGCTAATTATGATCTGGCATCATTGGCTCTTTCAATAAGGAAAAAAAGAACGCATGAACGCAACAATGAGCTGGAGGGTCCCTCAAAACTGGTAGTGGACGGCGTCTTCTACCAAGAAACACAAGAAATTAGAAAACGGACCTGGAGGGAGTCGAACCCTCAATGACATATGCTTCAAGTCTTGAGCAGAGGTCAAAGACATCGCCACACCCATAGGGCAACAGGTCCAGCTGTTGTTTTTTAGAGAAGTGGACATTTAACGTGTTGCTTGGTGGAATATAGATGCTGTTGCCCTGCACAAACCAATAAAGATGGACGATTTGACCTCGAAGATGTGATCAAATACCCGCGTTTCACCGAAAAGGATGGGGACATGAACCAAGACTAACTAACGTCTATTCATTCTATTCCAACAAACAGAACTGACAACAGCCCAAACCTCATTTTGTTCATGGGTCAAATGTTGATGCTCCCCCGATCTTTTCTGCATCATTAATGAGGCTGCCATCAGGTACCTTCATCAGGTACCTACTCCAGCATGAGTTTTTCATGGATCATTTGGCTTGATGGAGGTCCGACAGAACATCATTGACCTTGGACAAACCACAAAAAATGTCTTCCGTTCAGCACGATATAAAAGTATATTACCCTATAAAGACTCTACCAAATTAGATGATCATTGTATGAAATGATAATATGAAGGTGTCCTAAGTCATGGGGGTCCCCTCTATTTTCATCCATGTTTTCTGGGGATTTTCCATTACCATCCAGCTCTTGGAGAACCCCCATGACTATGGAAACCCCAGGAGCGTAGGCGCCCGAAGTCATAGCTGGTATAGATGTCGATTCCCCCAGAGATGGTAATAAGTCTTGGAATCGTTTTGCATGTAGAAAATATCCTCTGGTAATTTAACATAGCTATGGAAAATGGACAATTTATAGATGTTTTACCCATTAATAATGGTGATGTTCAATAGCTATGTTAGTTTACCAGAGGGTATACCATTAAATCCCATGACTGTTCATGAAATATCCCATGATTCAATCACATGATCTTCCCATGAAAACCGAAGAAAAATCCATCATATACATCACCATTTTTCTAATCACCATAAGAAATTCATGAAATCCCATGTTTACCCTCTGGTAATTTAACATAATGGAAAATGACCATTTATATTGAATTTTCCCATTAAAAATGGTGATGTTCCAGAGGGTAATCCCATTTTTATACCATGTTTCTACCATGTTTATACCATGAAATCCCATGAAATCCCATAAAAACTTCCTAGCCATTCCCTGAAAAAATTGCACCTGGCTGCTTTCATCTCCCAGGGATTGGCTGATCTTCAAGGCCTGCAGGAAAAAATAAAAAAATGGTGCTTTAATAGTGCTTGGTGGCTCATCACACGAATCCTAAGTAGGTTATATCCCTGGTGTTTTCAGTGGGATTTTTGTAGGGTATTCATCCACTTATAACTGGGGTGAACTAACCTACTTAGTAAGTGTGATGAGCCACCAAGTGATTTAATAGTGATTCAATGGTGATTTCATGGATTTTAATGGTGATGAATATGATGAATATGATGGGATGTAAAAAAAAAAAGTCCCAACAAAATGCTGCGGCTAAAGCGATCTAACCAGGAAATAGATGATGATTTAATGATGATTTCATGGTGATTTCATGGTGATTTCATGGGATCTCACCAAGAAATAGATGGTGATTTCATGGTGATTCAATGGGATTGGGGATGGGAATTTTCACACACTATGATGGTTGGGTCTGTCTGAAAATGCTGCCGGAAATCCCCAATGGGGGATTGTTGACATCCCATTGTCCAACAAAAAAATTGGATATGAGTAGATCCGTCCCATATATTTGTGGATACAGTATAGCTACAATGTGGTGCCCTCCAGTTATAAGTTGTTTTATAAACCCCATTAACTATAGTTATATCTACCATAAACCATAGTTATTGGACTTATTAACCAACTTAGCTATCTAGGGGGCCCCACTTTGTAGGTAATCTCTACCTTTCTGAAAATTGGGGGTGTATGGTTTTGGGTTTACCACTGTTTCAAAAACCCATGGTCTCAGGAGACGATCCACTACTGAAAGGTGAGCTTTGACGGAGCTTTTTTTCTGAAATCCATATGTTTGATGCTTACTTGGTGGTTCATCCCACGAATCCCAAGTAGGTTAGTTCACCCTATAACCCCAGTTATAAGTGGATGAACCCTACAAAAATCCCACTGAAAAAACCAGGGATATAACCTACTTAGGATTCGTGTGATGAGCCACTAAGTAAATCCCCTCTGATGGTTGGGATCCACATGGTTCAATTCGTCACAATTCACTCGTCATATGACTCTCCATATCACTCGCCTCCTCCAACTTCGTTTCGTCGCCTTCTGCCAAGGCGACCTAGATTCGCAACGCAGCCGCTGAAAACCAGCGTAACTCCACGGATTGATGAGGGAAATCGGAAATGGGAGTGGTTCAGAAATACAGGTAACGTTTGGGGAAATTCAAAGAATTGAATTTGGGTATTTCAATGAGCATGTCCTGGAATTGTTTTTCCATCTTTCCAATTCTGTGAGAAATGTCAAGCCGAATCGAGTAGTTCAGTCAATTAAAGTATGGAGAAAAGGATATGTCTAGTGCATTTGAACCAACCAAAACATCGGGATTTCTAGATATTTCTGGTTGGTGGTTGACCTACCCCTCTGAAAAATAGGAGTTCGTCAGTTGGGATGATGACATTGCCAATTTATGGAAAAATAAAATCCTATTGATCACCATAAAATCCCATGGAAAATCATCATTGTTCTTAGTTTACCAGAGGGTAACCCCCAGTTATATGGAAAAAATAATCCAAATGTTCCAAACCAACCAGATTTTGATGTGGATCCAAACCAACGAATTCTGTTTGAAGCCCATCAAACCGGGAAGATGTTTCACACGGCAGATGGGCTCTCCATGACTGGACCCGGTCCGGCGGCGCTTTGGTGAATTCTTGTTGATCTGTGAAGGAAACAAAAAACAGTCCTCAATAATTGACTGAACAATTGAGTTTGAGTATGAGTGGATAAAATGACAGTATTAATTAACCAATAATAGATAATAATAGTGTTCATAAATTGAAAATAAGAAGATAACTTGATGAAAGTTTACCTGATTTTTTGCTGAACATCTTGATCTATCACTCATACGTTCAACTGCTACTTATTACTTTTACTCGTTCTGTTCCTCAGATCATTGTCCTTCATTGTGGGATTACTGCAACTGGCCTAATGACCCACATGAAGAAGTTCTGCTCTCCCGATCTCATCTGTATTTCTGCACTCCAGAGATGCGAAATAGCCCAGTTACCCTCTGGTAATTTGTTACATAGCTATTCAAAATGACATCTTTATAGTTGATTTACCTATTAAAGATGGTGATTTTCCACAGCTAACTGTTAGTTTACCAGAGGGTTTTTTTTTCTAGGATAGACCCCAGTCGGATTAATGGCTTGTTCACCACTTACGATTCTTTGGATGCACCAAGAAACCAAGACTTCACCAGGTCTCCCGGCAGTGTGCAGTGCTGATACTTCGCCCTTTTTGTCGCCAGCCTGCCGATGGCATCACCCAACATGGGAATCAGACATGGCTGGGAGAACCTGCGGATCTAAATCAGGTAGCATCATATTAATGGCTGGTTGGTGGTTTTTCGCCACCCCTCTGAAAAATGATGGACTTCGTCAGTTGGGAGTATGATTCCCAATATGATGGGAAAATAAAAGCCAGGTTCCAAACCACCAAACAGTAATGGGATTTTAATGGAGTCATCATCAGTATAATATTTAATCATCAGCAATGATTTAGCCAGCAGTGGGGATATTTCTGTGATTTTTTCATATTGCCATGCCCCCTAGGACTATGTAAAGCCACGCTAGCGCTTACGAGTACCGTGGAAGAGTACATAAGTTGAGAATCTGGAGGATCTATGTAGTTAATTGACGATCATAGATGATAATTTAGGATATGTTTAAGTCCCATGCTATGTTTTAAAAAGTATCAGATTCCATGGATGGACCACGAAACCAAAAAGGGCCTTTTTTCATAAACCAATGTCCATGTCAACTGTCTGATCCCTACCGCGGCTAATGCTTCATCTCTGTGAAACTGAGCAGAACCAAGACAGACCGAGGCTACCGGGTTTTTTTTTCTCAATGAGCATCTTACGAACATCTCTGTGAAAAACCATTTAGATTTACAAGCATTCACCTGACTTAATTGGCAATACTGTAGCGTCCTGGGATAGTTGTCCCTACTCTACTAAGCATCATTCCAGTGTGGGAAAGCATGATCAAATTCATCCAGAACCATGAGATACCCTCTGGTAAGCATACAAAAAGCTATTGAAAATGGCCATTTAGAGTGGAAATTATCCATGAAAAATAGTGATTTTCCATAGCAAACTGTTAAATTACCAGAGGGTATCTGGGAGGTCTTCCATGGTTTTCCCATTTCCTAGTGAGCCACCCCTGGACCGTCCCAAAACGCCGGGCACCACCTGCTGCAGCAATTTCCGAGCTTCTGTGGAACACTCGACGGCCTGGCAGATTGTCCCAACCCTGGTACCCTGGTACCCTGGTGAACATCAAACCAGCTGATAAGTGGATGTTCAACCCCAAAATTTGGTATCATATGTTTCCCAAAATTGGGTATCATAGGTTTTAACTGGTTTTAACTCATCCCCAGTGTTGGAACCATAGTTTTTCCCATCAAATTTGAGTCTTGCAGTTTTTTCTGCAATTCTGGGTAGTGCACATGCCGGCCGAGTCTCTAGATAATCTGCCAAAAAAAACCGTTTGGGATACCTATTTGTAGCTTAAATTCCCAGTCTGTTTGCTTAAAATCCATAATTTCCAGTTGATTGGTTGTTAGGTGATATGACCCAGCAATGTTCATTTACAAATCATGTTCCCATCAAAAACTTAAGATGTCCCATTCAAACAATGATGTTTATTTAAAAAAGGGTAGGTCCCCTTGAAAATCAGACCCATCCAAACAAATCAGCATGTCCCATCCAAAAACTCACTCTTTTACATCAAACGAAATGAGGATAGGTAACTCAGCAAAGCACAAAACTACAGCAGAATATACCCTCTGGTAAACTAACATAACTATGGAAAATCACATTTTTTATGGCTAAATCAACGAACTAAATGGCAATTTTCAATAGCAAATGTTAGTTTGCCAGAGGGTAGTTGAATGATGTTGAATATATTAAATACCCTCTGGTAATTTAACATAGCTATTGGAAATTGCCCATTATAGTAGATTTTCCCATTAAAAATGGGTGATTTTCAATAGCTTTTTGTAAACGTTTACCAGAGGGTATAGCAGATTTCCGTCATCCCATAGCACCATCATCCCCAGCATCCGCTCACGGCTCACGCCTCCTTTCCATCAGCACCCAAGAGCTGTTCGGCCAGTTGACGTAACGCCTGACCCTGGCACGGAAAATCCCGGTGGCGAAATTCCCCAAATTTCTTGGGATCAATATCCATATGATCCATTAATTAATAGTGTACTATACGTTGATGATGATGAATTTCGATTGATTTTGGGTGACCACCATTTGGAGAAGTGGGACTCCCTATACTTTTGTGATGATCTGACCTTCTGTCATTTGGGCGTCTAAAGCTTGATGTGTTCGCTCTACAGCGAGAAGGGTCGCCAAGCGTCTGCGAAGGTCTTGGCAAATGTGCGCTTCAACTTCAAAAACTTCAAATGTAAATGTAGATACCCTGTGGTTATTTAACGTAGCGAACTGGGAAATCACAATTTTTCATAGGTAAATCATCATGTTTATCGTCTATAAATGGACCATTTTCATCCATTTTCCATAGCTATGTTAAATAACCAGAGGGTAAATGTAGCATCCAAATGACTTCAGACATTCCCATCATTGTTTTTGGTTCTCCACTCCCAGTAGCCAATCCGACAAGGCGAGATCCGACAAGTCGATCCAAAACGTTGCTCTGCAAAAATCTTTTTTTTTAGCCAGCTACGGTATATCGGTATATCCCCATAAAAGTGGCCAAATACTAAGACATAAAGCTATTCGATCAGTCGGATTACCATTCATCTATTGATTTGATCATCATGTTTCATGCTCAAACTCCAAATTTTATCTGACATATTATCTTTTGCTACTCAACCATTCTGTTTGTTGTATCACCAATTTATTTCCAATCCGCTACTCAACCGCTTCTGGCCCATCCCCAAAGAGAAATCGATGGTGGTGATTTCGTCAGCTTCCTTGATGGTTTCCCTGCAAGCCACCTGGGCCCCTTTTGACACGAATTTACATATAGCTGAACTGATCTTGCACAGCTGTGCTGTCACCACCGCCCTCTGGATCTCCCCAGGTCACGACAGCATCTCCAGAGATCGCAGCGAAGGCAAATCCTGTGTGACAGATCTGCGTCACGTCCCTGAGCTGATTCTCAACTGCAGTGGTATCACCACCACAGGAAGGCTGGCCCCAGGTCACCACGTTTCCATCTGCCAAGATAGCTGCAAAGGCAAATTTTGCGCTGCAAATCTGCTTAACTTTCGTGAGATGGGCACGGACTTCTGTGCTGTCGCTACCAAAGCCCAAGCTACCCCAGGTCACAACAGTTTCATCGGCCAAAATTGCAGCAAAAGCAGCGTCAGTTGCAGAAATCTGCCGAACATTTTTGAGCTGATGTTGGACAGCAGTGCTATTTCCACCACTTCGAGAGTTGCCCCAGGTGACCACTGATCCACCAGTCAGAATGGCAGCAAAAGCAAGCTGATTGGCATGAATCTGCTGGACGTCCTTGAGCTGGTCTTGGACTGCAGTGCTATCACCACCACCACGTGGATCTCCCCATGTGACGACGCTTCCATCTGCCACAATTGCAGCAAACGCGATGTCACTGGCATGGATCTGCTGGACGCTTTTGAGCTGGTTTTGCACAGCAGCGCTGTTGCCACCATAGTTAGGCATGCCCCACGTCACTACTGTTCCATCTGCCAAAATTGCGGCAAAGGCACATCTTGTGGCACAAATCCGCTGAACATTCTTCAGCTCATTTTGAACTGCAGTGCTGTCACCACCACAGTTGAGGTTGCCCCACGTCACCACTGTTCCATCTGCCAAAATGGCAGCAAAAGCACTGCCAGTGCCATGAATCTGGTGAACATTGTTGAGCCGGTCTTGGACCGCAGTGCTGTCACCACCGCAGGCAGGCTTGCCCCAAGTCACCACTCCCCCACCTGCCACAATTGCAGCAAAAGCACATCCGGCTGAAGCAATGTGCTGAACGCCCCTGAGCTGATTTTGAACTTCAGTGCTGTCACCACCACATTCAGACTTGCCCCATGTCACCACTGTTCTATCTGCCAAAATTGCGGCAAAAGCGCAGTCAGTGGCATGAATTCGCTGAACACTCCTCAGCCGATCCTGGACACGTGTGCTGTCACCACCAACACTAGACGTGCCCCATGTAACGACCGTTTCATCTGGCAAAATGGCGGCAAAAGCAGCCGCTGCACCACGAATCTGCTGAACGTCCCTCAGCTGATCTTGCACTGTTGTGCTGTCACCCCCAAAGTCAGGCTTGGGCCATGTCACCACCCTTCCATCTGCCAAAATAGCAGCAAAAACACATGTTGCGCCACGAATCTTTTTCACATTCCTAAGCTCATGCTGGACTGCACTGCTGTCACCACCGGTCAAAGGGGAACCCCACGTGACAACTGTTTCATCTGCCAAGATTGCAGCAAAAGCACCGTACGTGGAATGAACCTGCTGAACGCCTTTAAGAATATTTTGGACAGCTGTGGTGTCACCACCATTTTCTGGCGGGCCCCATGCCACCACCGTTCCATCAGCTAGGATCGCAGCGAAAGCCATGCCTGAGCCACAAATGTGCTGAACATTCTTGAGCTGATGTTGCACCACATTGCTGTCACCACCGCCCTTTGGCCTGCCCCACGTGACAACTGCACTATTTGTCAAGATCGCAGCAAAAGCACACCTTGTGGAACAAACCTGCTGAACGTGTGTGAGCTGATCGCGGACAGAGGTACTGTCACCGCCATCATCTGGACTTCCCCATGTCACCACTGATCCACCGGCCAGAATGGCAGCAAAAGCACAGCTTGTGGCATGAATCTGCTGGACGTGCCTGAGCTGATCTTGAACTGCAGTGCTGTCGCCACCGCCATGTGGATCTCCCCATGTGACGACGCTTCCATCTGCCAGGACAGCAGCAAAAGCCATGTCAGTGGCACCAATCTGCTGAACGTTCTGGAGTTGACCTTGGACTGTAGAGCTGTCCCCGCCAGAGTCAGGCATGCCCCAAGTCACTACGTCTCCATCTGCCAAAATTGCAGCAAAAGCATGTTGTGTGGCATAAATCTGCTGAACATTCCGAAGCTTGTCTTGGACTGCACTACTGTCTCCACCATTTTCTGGATCGCCCCAGGTGACAATCCTGTCAGCTCCAACACACCACAGAGCAAAGGCACTGGTTGTTGCAGCTAACTTTGGCTGCTGTGCGATGGCAGCGATGGTGTCTCCATCTTGAAGCCCAGAAAGTTGGAGAGGTTCTGCTGGATCTAAAAGGCGCCCGTCCGGCGCAGCTAGCCTTAGGAAACTTTGCCCCAAAACCTGTTGAGCAGCTATTTTCAGGTCACCAATGGTGCCATGCTCATGCTGCAAGACCGAGACAGTTTCACACCGCCCACTTGGCAAAGACACATGTACATTCAGATTGCTGCCAGCTACCTGACGGCCTTCCCGCAGGCACTCCATAGCGGCAGAGTTCACGAAGCTGAAGAGATTCAATGGGCCAAACAGCAGTGGTTCTCATCCTCCAGCGATTTCTGGCCATGAAAATTCCCAGTTTGCCATAGCTCCCTTTGGCCATAAGCCTCCCATTTGGATACTTGGAGGATCATCCCACTTAGTAAGAGGTTATATAATTATCATTTGTTTATTGTGTTTTTCATTTGATTTGGTTTGTTTATTTTGTGTTTTTTGTTCACTCAGTTTTTGACAAGTTTTGAATTTGCTTCTAAGACGACTTTTTGAAAACAAATCCAGACTCAACCGGACTCAATTCCGGACTCAAACTTGCATGTTTTTTCGTTTTTTTTCAGTTTTTTTGCAAATTTCCCACGTGTTTCCTTCAAAATCAGCCTTTTGCAGCCAAGTGTTCTTCTTGTTGTTGATTATTTGATTTTTGTTGTTTGTTTGTTGCTTTTTTCTCAGTTTTTTTAAACATGTTTGTTTCTTTTCCAAGACGGCTAAAGCGGCTAGAGGAAAAGCAAATCCAGACTCAACAAAAGACTCAATTCCGGACTCAAATTTACAGGTTTCTCAGTTTTTACATTTTTCAGCAAGTTGTCCAAGTGTTTCCTTCAAACTAACATGTTGCAGCCAATTTGTTTTTTCGTTGTTTTTTTGAGTCTTCTGTTGAATCGATGTTTTCCAGTTGCTTTTTTTTCCGATGTGTTTTTTGGTTGTTTTTTTGGGTTAGTTTGTTATTTGATTTTTTTTTCAGAATCAGTGCACTTCTCTGGGCATTCTAAGCCTAGTAGTAAGTCCCCTAAGTGGGTTGTCCCATTTATAAATGGGTTATAGCTATGGTTACTGCCCAATTGCGGTTCATGGGATGATCCTCCAAAGTGGCCATGTGGTAAACCCGGGCCAGTAGCACCTCACCCAACTTGTTGCCCGTGCTCTTGAAGTACGCGGCGCGGTCCCGGCAGACCTCAGGTTTTTCGGGGTGCGGACCTGGTAACGACTGTCATAGTTGGGATGAAAACACAAGGAATACGAAAAAAAAACACTAGAAAACCGGGAGATCATTGAGTTTATTAAGAAAATGCGGAGTCTTGACCAGCAAACAAATGGTGATTTCGCTCACATGATTGTGGACAAATGGTTGGTAGCCATGATCACAAAATAATCAAGCGAATAAACCGACTCCCAAATGCTCGGGCTGCAGTACCCTGCAGCTATGGATTTAGATATAGATTTGACGGTCTTATCCGACAGTCGCATAGAAAGCCCGCTATCTTGGCTCATGTATTTTCATGTCGATTTATTTGCGATTCAGAGCTTCTGTCCATGTTTTATCAAAAAATGTCACTATTATAATATCATATATATATATACAAATAAGTATGTATATATATATATAACTAAGCAAGGTCCAAAATCGTCAGGATACATCGAAATTCTTTCCACATGGTTCAGTAAAGGTCAGTTGACCCAGTTTACAGTGAGACCATCCAGTTTGGTCGCTGTGGAACCCTCTCAAGTTCTGGTTTTCCATCAAAGAAACAGGGGTCCATCAAGAACCCAAACTTATCCATCCAAAAAACTCCAGAATTTGAACCCAACAATCCCAAAAATTATGATGTCTCATGAAAAAAAAATAACCCATGAAATGTCCACCCCAAAATCCAAGATTTCCCATCCAAAAAAAAACAGTGTTTTCCACCCAAAAACTCATGGGTTTGTCTGAAAATAGGGTACCCTAAAACTCAATGGATTACAACCTCATGTTCCTCATTGAAAAATGGAGAATTTGGGAAGGTATTATGGTATACCCTCTGGTAAACATACAAAAAACGATGGAAAATCACCATGTTCAATAGGTACCATCTGGTGATTTGTTACATAGCCATGGAAAATCACCATTTATAATAGGTAAACCCAGGTAAACCGTCTATAAATGGGCCATCTATAGCATGGCTATGTAAGAAATAACCAGAGGGTAAATCATGATAATGCCATAAATTGGGGGAAAAAACTGTTAAATTACCAGAAAATCACAATTTTTGATGGAAAAAAACACTATAAAATCACCATTTTCAATAGGTAAATCAACCATGTTTGGACCAAGCCATGTTTTTTTGTACCAGGCATCCCAGACCACGGCCACGGCATTGCCCGCACCCTCCCTGGCACTCGCAATGTCCAGGTAGGTAGCCCTCGGTGGATTTTTCATGGGAAAATCGTTGGTTTCCGATTGGGAAACTTACCCTCTGGTAAACATACAAAAAGCTATTGAAAATGGCCATAGAAATAGTGGATATTCCCATTAATAGCATGGTGATTTTCCATAGCAAACTGTTAGTTTTCCAGAGGGTATGGGACTCTCTGGGAGTTGGGATTTCATCACTTGTTTTTCGAGAATTGAAACATCTTGCATCCGAAGTACAGAAGTAAAGTACATCAAACAATGGTGGATTTTAAGCAGTAAATCACGGGTTTTCATCGTGATTTCAACAAAAATGGGGGTTCTCCATGAATATCACGAGCGCTCCTTGGACCTTAAGGTCACCAATTCGAGTGGTGTTTTGGTGGAAAGAAAACCACTCCAATGTTCGCTCGTTTTTTTCTTTGAAACTATGGTTAGTTTGTCAAAAAGCCATGGAAATTAGTTCTATATAGTTCTATATTTTTTTTGGAGCTTCAGGGAAACAATTGCTGGGAACTGTTTGAAGTCTTGATGTTTCCAGTAAATGATCCCTTCAACGAATGTTCGATGAACTTGCTTCGCAACCTACAAGTATGGTGGAAACTCATGGAATTTCTATGATTGATTCCATCTGGTCAAAGAAGTTAGTAAACTAGACTTAGTGAGAAATCAAAAGGGATACTCAAGTTGGGGAATTGCTGGCCAAAACCGATCTTAGATACCAATCTTGGTGATGGGCATGCAATGCAAGGGTCGTAGAAATGTGGACATACAACGGTTGATACTAGTAACCAGAAAAGAATGAAATTGCTAATTACCAATGTTTTGGGATTGAAATGGGAAGAATGGAAAATTGGCTTCGTCCAATCAGGAAGATGGTGGCTTTTAATCTATTGAGATAGGATGTCGTAGATATCATACAAGACAGGGATACAAAATCCCATCATGGCATCGACATGGGCTGATTCCAGTTTGATCAGAGTAAGTTGCTTCCAGTCACACTATCCCCGCTATGATAGCTATGGCAACAAAACAACCCAAAAAACATACGCTAAACCGTCCCAAATACAGAACATGTGCTAACTTCTGGTAAACTAACATAACTATGGAAAATCACCATGTTTAATGGATAAATCCACTATAAATCACCATTTTCAATAGCTTTTTGTATGTTTACCAGGCCGGGTAACTTCTGGCTTCATCTGCTGGTGATGCTGGTGATGTCACCACCCCACAAGTGGCAAAATGATTGCCCAAAAAATGGCTTGGAGCAAACCCAAAAAAATGACCCAAATCTGCGGCATCCCCATTTCCCCATTGGATTCACTATACAATAGAGAAACCCTATCTTTGAGGTTATATTATATATACATATATATATATATATACAGTATATATACATATGTACATATGTATATATAGCCTCGTGCAGGCTTCTGGAACTACCTAAACCTGAATTAGGTTGGTAAAACTTGTCCATTCCGTGACGAAATTTCGTCGCGGAATTAACAAGTTTCATTAGGGTCATTATCATCATCATCATCATCATCACATCATCATCAGCTGCTGCCGCAAGTTCACATGAATGTTAACATCGAGCCGCAAGTTCACATGAACGTTAACATCCCACCCCACCCCCCCCCACCCCGCGTGTGCGTAGCATCAACTGCTGCCGCAAGTTCACATGAACGTACATCCTGCCGCAAGTTACAATGAACGAACACATTCCCACACCCCAACCCCCCCACCCCGCGTGTGCGTAGCATCAACTGCTGCCGCAAGTTCACATGAACCTTACCATCCCACCCCACCCCTTTACCCCAAGGTTTAGGTAGTTCCAGAAGCCTGGACGAGCCTATATATACATATATGTATATACATCCAGTCTTATCGCGTTCATCTCGTGCGTCTTGCTTCTACGCCGATTTTCATGCTAGCTCCAATCCCCTTAAGTTGCTTCAAATCTTAGTTTTTCTCGGTTTTTTTGTTGCTTCAAAACCTTCAAATCCCCTAAAATTGCTTCAAAATCTTCAAATCTTCGTTTTTCTCACTAAATGTTGATTCAAATTCCCAAAAACAACTGCAGGCGGCAATTCTTCGTTGCTGAAACGCCTACCACCATACGCCAAGTGGCTCGGCGGCTTGTTCACCTTCCAGGTCCCCAATCCTGGGAGATGCTGTGGGGAAAATCAACGAAACATCCGGGGTTTAACCATCAATGGTATAGGATGTAACCATTTATGAATATGTTTATGGGAAGATCTATAATATAGTGGGAATATGGATTAACTGATTAACCATCATTTATTGTAATGGGAATATAGTGGAATTTGTTGAATATAACCAAAAATAATGAGATATGATGGGAGTGTAACTGGGATATCATGGGACGTAACCAAACAAATGGAAGATCGGTTACTGCAGGGAAAAAGCTGGCTTTACCAACATTCAGGTCGCGGATTTATCCCGAAAAACATCCTAAATTTACAGGGGGAGCCAAAAAAAGAATATATATAGCTTTTTGGTTGCCATCAAACGTTGCATGCTGGTGGTTTAGCATACAATGCTGAGGTTGAAAAGGTGTAGATCATCCTCTTTGTCTCTGGTGTTCGTAAGTGGGTATGGGTCAAGGACTGGGCCATGTTTAGGACCCCAAGCCATCTCTTGCGGTGAATACTATGGGAGGCACTTTATGGTTGTGGAACAATCACCATCATTGATACGAAGGTCATTGGTACCTCGAAATCGGATGATTTGATTTGAACAGGACCAGCCAAAACCGTGCTACCCATTTGAGTTCAACCAATGCACCATTGGCACATGTGCTCTATCTGTTGATGCCAGGTCATGAAGAAGTTTGCATATCCATCCCAAACAAATGGTGAGGTATGACTCCAAGCTTTACCATCATCCCTTTGAGGTTTAAGCAACCAGTTGTGGGAGTTAAACTGCTCATTTTGATGAATATCCGACTACCCCTGCATCACAGTAATCCATCCCTTTTTACTTGTCCTGAACGTCCTGAAATTGATAGTGAAAAATGTAACTTTCATTAGGTACTGACTCCATTGCTCATCCATCATTTCTGCGTTCGCTCCTCATTTTCCGTGGGTTTCTAGCTCAGTTGCCATCAACATTCCCATGAGTTGGAAGGTGCTTCAGCTTAAAATATCCAGTAGTCTTGCTGGTTTTGCCTCCTTCATCCCACCTCCCTTTTTATTACATACCGCCCCACAGGCCCTTGTAGTATCGAATGTTTTCCTTGTGCCAAATACACTGAAACTAAAAACATTCAGAGGGAATAGATTCATTTCCATGTTTTTGCGGCGATATGTTTCAAGCTCATTTTTGTGGATCAAAAATCCCATGTCAGTTGGCTTAATCCCCAATTTTTCTTAGCTAACTAGGCTAACTACTTGGTTGTTCACCGTAGTTAGTAAGTGTGCTCGACCTTGGTTACAAGTGGATTGACCCTACTCAAGCTCGTTATAACTGCAGTGAGCTCACCCACAAGGAAGATTCTGCGGGCAAAGCACCAAGTACTTCCTGAATTCAGTTCGATTCAGTTATATCCCCATCATATCCCCTTTTTTGAGGTAAAATACCAATTCTATGCTCAATTTTTGCCACTTTTGCTACCCCATCAAGGCCCACTTTTCGGCCGCTGTGTGGCCGCACTCGCGAAAGATGCGCAGCGCATCTTTCACCGCAGCCTCCGCCACACTGAGCTCCTTCCTGGCAAAATCCAGCATTTCGGGGACCTCTACGGCCTGTCTGTATATATGTGGTGTATACCCTCTGCTTATTTGACATAGCCATGGAAAATGGCCCATAGAAATAGATGATTTTCCCATTAAAACCTCCATTTATAAGGGATATATATATATATACATACAAAGTGGGGCCCCGTTTACGATAGCTAAGTTGGTGCACATAACTCCAATAACTATGGTTTATGGTACCTATAACTATAGTATTCATGGGGTTTATAAACCATCTTATAACTGGGGGGCCCCACATTGTACATATTTATAATGAGTATATCATGTGTATATGTGTCCCCTGATATCATGATATGTCCAATATATTCTACTGTATAAAAAAACATCCCACATTTAAATTTTGCTGCTTTCTATGATGGAAGCCGCCCTCCAGGGTTCCCTACAGCGACAAGCGCAGATTGGCAATGGTCGTGAGACTTGAGGCTTCCATCTGCTTGTCACCAGCCTGGGAAAACCAGTGAATTTGTGTTGCCAAGGGCCCTTGAAGAAATAGGTTTCTGTTGGTTTATAACTAGTAACCAGGGATTATGGTGGATATATCCAAGTACTTATGATTATGGAAGCTGTTGGGTTTAACACACTATTTGGTGGAGATTTCGCAAACATGAGAAGATTTCATCAGTATGAGGGAGTCACCGTGCCACATATGTGCCATGGTCATGCCATGGTCAAAACATGGTATATGGTTTCTGGTCATCCCACACTAGAGATTCCTTACAATTGGTATATCATTCCCTATGATTTGATTCATGACCATCACCCAGGAAGAAAAGAACCATGGCTGGTTTGGCTAATATATCCAATATTGTTGAAAATAAATCAAACCGGAACAGAACATAAATATCCAATATACATAAAATATCCAATAATAGAAATGTACAGCAAAAATAAGTCAACTACTAAACTATCCATCTAATTCAATTGCTTGACCCAGTAATCAATGGTAATTTCAGGATCCTAAAATAGAGGTACTGTACCATATAAGGCCATATTTTGTGGGGATATTCCCTTACATAGGCCTTATATATGGTAGGTACCTCCAATTTAGGTTCCTGAAATGACCATTGAAGTAATGTTGCCAAGAACATTTAAGTACCAAGCCCAGACCACAGGACGATGAAGCGATGAAGCCGCAGGACTTGTCAGTGTCAAGTCAGGATCTACCCTCTGGTAAATTAACAGTTTGACCCTGGCAGTCATCGGGGTTGGAAGATTAGTTTCCATTCAAACTAGCCTATTTTCAGCGTCGAACTGTTAATTTACCAGAGGGTAAATGTTTGTTTGTATCTGGGTGTCTCAAAAAAAAACGTAATGTCAAGCCTGGATTTTTATAAACCCCTAGGCCCTAGGCTGTTCAAGGCTGTTCAATTGGGAAGGTACCATTGAAGTATCAAATCATGACTATTGGGGGAATACCCCCCTAATTAATACACTATGGTTTATTAATCCGGGGTTGACATTATACTTCAAAATTGCCACCTGCATGGATGAATCATCTACTTTGGGATTTGGTTTATCCTATTTTCAGACAAACCCAAATCATGGTTACCCTCTGGTAAACTAACGTAACTATGGAAAATCACCATTTTTCATGGGTAAAACTCACTATAAATCGCCATTTTCAATAGCTTTTTGTATGTTTGCCAGAGGGTAGTTAATGGTTGAATGTCCATATCAAACTCACAAACCCTGATGGTTTGTAGGGGGAACATTCGTAACAAACGTCCGACAAAATTCGGAACTTCTTCGTAACATCAATATAGAAACCACCAACAAATGTAAGGTGAAATAATGGGGATATAAATATGATATAATGATTTATATCATTTTACATCATTTATATCTGTTGGATCCCCAACATATCCCATTATGAATCACCATTTTTGCGGCTTGTCTCGCCATTGGTATAGCAAACCCCCAGTTGGTCTCACCTCCTTAAAGCTAGCGAGGGCCGACATGGCGTGGCCTCACAAGACGGTCAACAACGGTCGGTCGCGAATGGGAATGTAATGGCTATTTCTTATATATGCTGTGGATTTATCTATATGTGATATTCCAACAATATGGATCGATATGGTATCCTTCATTATCTATAATGGTCACATGAAAAACTGTATATAGATAACATCTGCCCATATTCACAATAGATACCAACAACATGGGGGATATTTACATTACGAATTTTCGCAACGTATGAATACAGGAGGATCACCCCCAACAGGCATCCCAGTTGGGGGCCTTTTTGGTAATCACCAATGATCAAGGTAGGTTCATAACCCCAGTAACCAACCAAAGGGTATATCTTTCATGGCTCAAGTGGTTGGCTATGGTGCTTTGGATTCCCGGGATTCCCCCGAAACACCGAAAAAAAGCACAATTTCGAGGGTCGTGGATGTTGCAGATGACGATTGGATATGAAATCTGATCCCTGTTGGATTTCAGTGTTTCGTGGCACTGGTTGAGAAGGGGTTGGCATCATGTGTCACAAGTAGTCTTCCAACCCCCATACTTCCCAGGGTCATCATGTTACAGGTTTCATGAGGTTTCATGATCCCCATTAGCCATAATATAACCATTATGGAGCATTAAAAAACCTATGTTTAGCGTCAAATATAGAAAAGGAGAGAAAAGGTTCAACTTGTCACTAGTTTACTGAAGCAGGATTTTACCAACTTTGATCTTTTTTGGGGGGTTATCTACAGTAACATACAACAAAAAACCATTCAATCCTATTTGACCGTCATGTATCCCACTTTCCCAGTAAATTTCTCAGTTTATGTATGTATGTATATATATATACATACATGGTGGTTTCCATAAATAGGGGTACCCCCAAAATGGGGGGTTTATAATGGAAAATCCGATTAAAATGAATGATTTGAGGGTACCCTATTTCAGGAAATCCTCATATATATATATATATCAATTGCATCCCCATGATGTTCCAACAAAATAACTCGCTATCTTTGATAGTATAATCCGCATAGATTGGGTGGTTGTCCCCATGATGTCATAATAAAATAATCAGGTAATCTACATGCGGATGGTTGAATCCCATTTTATATCCATTCATAGTTTGATGGTTAAATGCCGTGTGTGTATATGTATATATATATATATATCCGATTCAAACCATATGTTCAGTTTATAGTCACTATATATTCACTACCTAGTACTTTTGTTGGTTAAACAACCCATTATTTGTAATCTGTAACCCATATGCCATATAAACAAAATATGAAATAACCACTTATTTTGTGTATATCTCCCAGTTGTTTGATGTCTTTTCTGGAGATCTGCCCCCAACTCCCCGCCTAAGGCGACCTTTGGCTCCGCCGTACTTAACGCTACAGCCAACAGCGCTGAGGCTTCTCCGTCCTAGGGAAACCACGTTGGTGTAGGGAAAAACAAGAGGAAAACCATAGGAAAACGGAACATGGATGAAAATGGTGGTTTAACCACCAAAAATGGGTTATGTCATGTAATTTATAATAGCTGATTTCTGATAGCTTAGTTCAAGCACATAACTTGGTTAACTGTTGGGTTGATTGGGGAGATACAACTATAGCTGATGGGTTTGTAAAGCAACAAGACACTAAGCTGGGGATGCCTCACCTTTTAGGAAAATCCGGATAAAGACTGTCGCTTTCAGGATCCCTTCATGGAAAATGGAGGAGAAAAAGATTGTGACAAGTCACAATCCTCATCACATCAGTCCCATCGTCAAGTAGCAGTGTGTCAAAACCTTGTACCCCTGTAGTTCACATCAAAATAGCTGGGATTTATGGATGTTCATCCCCCTAAAATGGTATTATATAATAGGTATTGATCCATAGCCAAGTCCCAAATCTCCCATCTTCCCCACAGTTTCTCCCAATTTCCCCGGCGTCCGCCGTGCACCGCGCCTTGTTTCCCTTCAGGGCCTCCGCTGCGGCCTGGGCCTTCTCCAAGGCCGCCGGCAAGCTGCCTGCGGTCTGGATCCAAGGGATGGGGATGCAACCGGTACCATCTGGTTATGACATTCACAGTTTGCCATGGAAAGATCCACCCATTTTCAATAGGAAAATCACAATTTTTAATAGGAAAATCACTAACAGTTTGCCATGGAAAGATTCACCATGCTATTCATAGGTAAACCCAGGTAAACCATCTATTTCTATGGGCCATGGCTTCCATGGCAAACTGTTAGTCATAACCAGAGGGAAAACATACAACAAGAGGTGAAAAAGCCACGGGGAAACCCTCGGAAGGATCTACAAATAGGTGTGGATTTGTCCACATCTATGTTACTTTACCCCAGGGTAGGATTGGGCTAACTATCCCAAGACAGCCATTATATAGTGGAGGGGGTCAACAAATGGGAGGTACAATGGGGATACAGTGATACAACTGAATACGATGATATAGAATGATGCAATGAAGATTTAACCAACAGCAAATGTGGATAGATGAAAGGGATATGGTGGGGATATAACCAACAATAAATGGACAGTCATGGGAGTGGAATATAATGTGTCAATAAAATGTTGGAATATTGCGACTAATGATGGGCGACTAATCATGAGATATACTGTAATTTAATTCAATAGTGGCACCAGTTCATGGCTATGTAATCCGATATATTGTCGTCAAATTCATATCTTGTTTATATAAGTGCATCTGAAAATGGAGTCCGTTCCCACACCAATTTATGGCCATGTTCATCGGGAGAAGTATGATGAACCACTTTGATGAGGGCTACCCTCTGGTAATTTGTTACATAGCTATTGAAAATGGTGATTTATAGTGGATTTTCCCATTGAAAATGGTGATTTATAGTGGATTTTCCCATTGAAAATGGTGATTTTCCATAGTTTTTTGTTAGTTTACCAGAGGGTACCCTGTTTTGAGAAACCCGGTTCGAGTCAGTGAGTCAGTCAGTGAGTCGTCACTCGTTTTTTGGCCCAGGGCCAGATTGATGTAACCTGATCGAAAGTCAGTTGAAGTCACCCAAACTGGTGGTATTTCTATATATACATATATATATATATATATAGAATTCAGCCACTGAAATTGGAGGTATCATATTGGATCTACTCAACTAGAACTGGGCTATTTCTCAGTTCTGGACTCCTCTGGACCATGAAGCCGCTGGGATGGTCTAAACTAAACTAAAATGGTCACATATTTCTGGAGAACACACTGTTTGTAGATCCTTTTCCGAACGGCTTTCACCATTGGTTTTCCACATCTTTTTCTATGTTGACCCCAGGGTAACTCTTAATAAGTTCATGCTGAAAGTTGCTGGATTCCGGAGGTCCAATCAGTCCAACCGTGCAATTTGAATCTGCTATCCTTGAGATCACCATCACGAATCAGCTCTCCCGATTGTTTACGGGTTATTTAAAAAAACAGTTTGCGGGTCTACCTCCCTCATTTTTTGTCATATATGTAATATACCAATAGATTAGATAACAGTGTTGACATATTGTATAATACCAAAATACCGATATATACTATTGTTTTTGCAGTAATATCCCATATTGTATAATACCAATTTTATGTATATAATATACCAATATATACTATTTGTGTTGATTGAATGACCAGTTTTGCTGGTCAAATCATGATTTTTGTTGCTTGAATCGTAATTCATTGTTGATTTACTCAACAATTTTGTTGGTTCATGGCATTGTATCATACATTTACCCTGTGGTTATTTAACATAGCTATGGAAAATGGTCCATTTCTAGATGATGAACATGATGATTTACCGAAAAAAATATTTTCCCATAGAAAACTGGTTACAAAAAAAAAAAGGTGCCCAATGTTCACCATTTTTCGCCGGCCATCTCCACTGCTTCGCTACGCTGCGCCTTGCGCCAACAAAGCCAGGGATGCCACCAGCAGCCCAGCACCGTCCTCTCCAGTTTCCGGGAAGTCATTGGGGATACCCGGCCTAGGAAACATACGAAAAACGATGGAAAATTACATTGTTTAATGGGAAAATCAATGAACTAAATGGCCATTTTCAATAGTTTTTTGTATGTTTACCAGAGGGTAACCCATTTTTTTGAGTGTAACTAATGGGACTATAATGGGATGAACCATCTACCAGCTGGTGCAGGATTTGGCAACCATCCACAGTAACTATGGAAATCACCATTCTTTATAGCTAAATCGAGCATAAATGGCCACTTCAAATAGCTATGATAATTTGCCAGAGGATACTGGCCCTCAACCAAGCAAAACCATCACAGCAAGCCATGATACAATGAAGTATCATCGCAATCATCACAAGGTTTAAATTCCATCCAATTGTTGGTTTAATATGTGCAAGTTGGGTTCCAAAAATTGCACAACATTCCGAAATTGCGGTGCGGGTTATATCATGTGTTTCTGATCTTTCCTTTTTCCGTAAGTCGCATGTTTGTTGCCTCCTAAATCCCTAACAATTCTACAGGCTTTTCACGGTGTATCTGAAGTCCCCAATACCTTCGGTTCATCAGCAATTTCAAAATAGACAGAAAAGTTGGAAAGCTGGAAATGATGGGGACGATATCATCGAAAAATCATCCTGGAAACACTTTTCTATCTTCTAGGGGTTTCTATAAATTCTTGTTGGATCTTGTTGCTGTTGATAGTCACCACCCCAAATCGGCTCTGTCGAAGTCACAGCACTGCAAATGCCATGTGCCCACCTTTTCTACCTGAAAGTCAAAAGCTGCCTTGTGCCTGAATAGCAGCCAGTCAGGTCAATTGGCTGATGAAATGTTGTGAAAATGGTTGCACCAATATGTGTGCATGGTAAACACGAATTGCATTCACATTGGTCAGGAATCCATGCCTGACTTTCGTGCGTTCGGCACGGTAAAAGGAAGCTTCAACCTACCGTCTCTCACTGCGCTCCACCACTGAGCCGGATTCATCTTTTTCGTGAGAACGTCGGCTAATTGTTCTTCCGTGGGCACCCAATGCAGTGGTGGCTTACATGGTTTGTCAGGGCGCACAGCCCCGATTCCATACAGTCGCTTCCACTGATGGATTGCTTCAGTCTTGAGGGACTGCCTGATAGCCGCCAAATCAATGGCGAGGCGCCGCTCTGTCGGAGCTTTTGGTACTCCTTCTCGGTGTAGATGGTCGTAGAGACTCTTGCAATCAGTACACAGGTGCATCTCTTGGAATTCGCCAGCTTCTGCTTCTGGAACTAGGCGACCTTGTTGGAATGAGAGCAAGAGGCACCGTAGATACAGCGCAGCTTCCATCGCCTCACCACATGCCATAGTCTCGCCCGCAAACGTAGATCTGCAGACTCTTGAGCTCGCTCGGCTACGCCAATCCACAAATGAGGCGTTGCCCTCTTTGTTCTCCAAGACTTTTCTGTCGGCTACCATGATCAGACAAGCAAGCTGTGACGAAAGCTTGGTGTCTCCATCCCAAACTGGGTCAATCTCTTCCTCCAAATCCACATTCGCCCAAGCCGCATCGTGGAAGGCAAGGATTATCATGTCATTCACATCAATCTTCTTGAGCTTTATGCCTTCGTCCTTGAAGCGCTTGGCCATGTCCACAATCTTGTTGGTGTTCTTCACGTCACCAACCGTAGGATTTGCTTGGAGACGTTGAGCCTGTGCTACCATGAATTGAATGTCTGGCCGAGTCTGTTTCGCCAGCCAAGACAAACAGCCGACCGTCGTGCGATTCTGTTGGATCATATCCTCAGGAGCTGGGTCATTGTCATTCAGCCCCCCAGGGATGCGCACCTTCTCCAGTCGGCTCTGTGCATAGTTCTCTTGAGAGATCTTGATCTCTTCTGGGCCAATCTCATACTGACACCCCACATACTCAAAGGCATCTGTTTCCCAGTCATCGACGGGGAAGCGCTTGCTGATCTCGGCTTGCAGTTCTTGGTGTAGAGCAGGCTCTGTCATGATCATGAGATCATCCACATGTGTCAAAATGGCGCCAACCACCCTGCCGCCATGTCCTTTGAGTAAGAACACGCAGGGGTCTATCTCGTTCTGCTCCACATAAACTTCCTCCTTGCCATAGGGGATCTTGATCTGCAGCAACTCGGTTGAGAGTTTAATCCACCATAGTTTGGGAGATGTTGAAAGCCCAAAGACCCCCTTCACAATCTCCACCAGTTGTCCAGGCATCAGTCCTGGTAGCCCTCGTACCGGCTGCTTGAAGTAGAGCTTGCGAGGTGCCTCCACCCCATTAAGGAAGGCAGCCCTGATGTCACCGATAGACACCCGCCAACTCCATGACAAGGCCAAAAGCAAACATAGGAGAATGGAGTGTCGATTTGCTGTTGGCGCATCGACAGCCATCTCTGTTGTCCCCAAATCGGGGTCCCGTTGTCCTCCCACGCACAGCCTTGCTTTGGCTTTGCACTCAACATTGGGATCTGATCTCCTCTTGGCCAGGTTCTTGTCCCGGTAAAGGAATCGAGAGGGTAAAATTCTTTCCTTCCCGACCTCCACCTCCACTCTGGCGCTCTCCTCCAATGAGAGCGGGCGAACTGCTCCATACTGTAGATGTTCATCCCATTGCTTTTGTTCCGCAGCTCTGAACAAGTCCTTCTCCTCCGCTGATATCATGTGCCATGGGATCTCCTTCTCCAATGCCTTCTCCAAAGCTTCAGGGCTTCCAATGCGTTTAGTGAAAAAATTGGAACTGGTCGCATTTGTCACATTCGCTGACCCCCCGCCGCGAGGTTCACCAGGTTCATGCGTTCGGAGATGCTTTCTGATGGACACTGGAACATCGTCCAAAATCCTGGACTGCTTGGCCAGCCGTTCAAAACGCGCTTCTGCCTCTTGAGCTCGATGCGCTCGCTCCTCATCTCGGGCGCTAGCCCGCCCGGCTTGTGGTGGTGGCTCAGTGTCCATCACCGCCTCATCCAAAAGTGCTTCGAAGCTCATATCTTCGTCCACCTCCATGTCACCCACAGCCATGTCATCTGCTGCCTCCTCGAAGTCAGCATCCAGCGCTTTCTTCACCTCATGGAGCGCTGCCTTGATCCGCAACGCCTCGCTGACTTCTTCATGTTCTGCCATGCGAAGATGTTCGCCGGCCGCCAGAAGACAACGACCACCACGAGCCACCCAGTAGTTGGAACCTTCTGGGCCGATCACAGTGGCAGGGCCAAGCCATTTGGAAGACACTCGTTTCCCTTTGCTCTTGTTCTCGCGGTAGACATAGACCATGTCGCCAGGCTTGAACTCCTTAGGTTGCACCCGAGGCCGATGAGCCAAGGCTTTCCGCACTGCATCTACAGAGTGGCCTTGGAAGAAGGCCATGCGCGCTGCCACTCTGAGGGTTTGTTTGCGCGCCATCTTCTCATCTGCCGTGATGTTGCTGAGCGCGCTCAATTGTTCAGCGCCATCTTCGGGATCTGGGACCAATCTTCCATTGCTTCCAAAGACCCATTGCCTTGGCGAGAAACCAGACCGGTTCCTCAATGTGTTGCGGGCTTCATTGACCGCGGCTGCGGCGTCAAACATGTCTTGGTCGGTGACGCTACACTCCAGGCAAACACGATCCCACACATCTTTCCATGCTCCATTGTATCGTTCTGCCACCCCATTCTGCCAGTGTGCCTGACCGGCGGCACTCCTCATGCAGATACTGTCGCCCGATGTGATCTCCCAGAAGCTGTCCCGGAATGATGTGTCCAAGTCGAGGACAATCTTGGCAGGAACCCCTGCCCAAGCTACCCAGTGCTTGTAGAAGGCTTCGGAGACCACATGAGCATGCCGACTTTCGATGGGTATGACAACCTGATATGACGATGCCACATCCACCATGTTGAGAGCCAAGTTGCCCTTGGACTCCACAGTATCTATGTAGATGATGTCCAGGGCAACCGCCTCATTGAAGTCTAGCAGAGTGGCCGGCTTTGTGACACGGTGCGCCGGCGGGCGCTTGCATCTCGTACAGGTCTTGCAGTGGAGGTTGTGAGCAGCCGCCACCATCTCCTTCGGAGCTCCCCCAAGGGTGAGATGCTTCACCATGTCACGATTCGAAGGATGCCCAAGATTCTGATGCATCCTCCTCAGAGCCCCAGCCACCTTGCCAGAAACCGTCCCCTTGAAGGTGATGTCGCTTGCCCCCCTGCTGCCACTGGCTTCTTCGGGTATGGCTTCCATCTCCACATCTCGGCCTGTTCCGTCGTCAGCCACCAAAACTTGGTGAGCTCCAGCGTTCTTGGCTGCCTCAACCACCGCCTCAGCAAACCCAGGCGGATAAACGCCTGACCATTTGGTATCTTTGCCCTGTACTCGGGCATGTTCATGTTGTTGATTGCACCTCCTCTCAAGCACTTGTTTGAAACTTGGATCTGTTGCTATCAGCTTGATGCTCTTCTTCAAGGCCATGCCCGGGTGAGCTATCGACTCCAGACCAAAAGCGCACATGTGGAGGACAAAACTCTCCACCTGGTTGTCACGAGCCCACCTTGCCAAAATGGGGTGAAGCCAAATGTCAGAAGTGGCTGGGTTTTCAACCACGACATGCCCTCCATTCATGCGCTGGATCAAGAAGACCTCGTCAATGAATTCCAGAAAGACCTTCTCCCGGCGACGGATGCGCCGCCGCTCTTGCTTGGTGTGGTTCAGCCTGGAAAATGCGCACCACGCCGTGCACGGCGGGGCCAGCCAAACCACTTTTGGCCTTCTTTGCCGTACTTCCTCCAAGATGTCGGTCCGCACCTCAGGGTCACGCAGATCATCTCCGTACCTGATGTCTCGAGGTCGCAGGACCCCCAAGCCATGAGCAGCAAAAGCGCCAGAGATCTCCGCTTCGCCGGCAAACACCTCAAGGCAGTGAACTCTGCCCTCTCCGCCAAAACCAGTTGCCATCCACAAATCTTGAACCGGCTCCACAAAGACCTCCTCCGCAAAGCTACCAATTGCACCAGCGCAGGCCATCAACACCAAGCTAAGCTGCCGTCCCATATGCTGCAGCTTCTTTCTTGTGGATGCATTGATCTTCCTCTTTTGCACGCCCCTGCGAGCTCTCTCCTTGGGGCTCACCGCATCACCACTGTCGCTGTCACCACAAGCCGCATCGGCCATGAAGATGTTCCCCAGCATCTGGGCGCCATACCCGCGCCAGTCCCTGCCAGGCTCATCATCGCACTTGTCGCCGTCATCATCCACCAGGTCATTCGCAGCCTCATAGTTGTCGGATCCACCACCAATGCCCAGCCCGACTGTCGCCGCATTCTCAACGACATGCTTACCAAGCCCGATTGTCGCTTTATACTCAAGGGCGTCGTCATACTTTAGCTTGCCAAGCCCGACGTCCTTGCCCTCTACAAAAACCTTGCCCTCGACAGTCTCACTGGTTGGTGTTCTTCCTTCCTTCACTCGCGGGGAATGTCCCCGGGCGAAGCTGGCGGCAATCGGCCGCTCACTCGGTACTTCTGCTTCACCAACGCGATCTCGGTCTCCAGCCTCAGCAGTTCCGCTTGTGCCTCCTCCGGCAACTCCGCATCCATTGCCGACATCCCTGATTCGGCCTCGGACGATGCCCTCTTCGGAGTTCCCCTTGAAGACACCCGCGACCAGCTGCTGCATGGCGCGGAAGATGCCACTACCTTCGGGACTGGAGTGATCGCCTTGGCCTCCGGGTCCATGTTGTAGGGAACCGCCCCGCACCTCTGGGCATATGTCGATTGCTTCGCCAGCTCCCCCTTCGCCCATGCGGCAAAGTGGCAGAGGTCGTCCCCCGCCGTGTCGTTCGCCTCCGACTCCATGACTGCCCAGCGGAGGTATTCCACAGGCACCTCCTTGTACATCCATGACTTGTACTTGCCGAAGTTCATCACCTGGTCCCCGCTCGGCTGCGAGGCATGACGCAGCATCTTGATGAGGAGCCCCCGTGTGGCTTTCGTGGGCACTTTCAAACTGTGTTCCGCGCACTTGGCCTTGAGCTCGTCCAGTGTCATGCGCCCCAAGCCCTTGATTGCCGTCTCCTCTTCCCCCGTTCTCTGCTGGCGGTGCTCGATCACCGTCTGCCTGAGCTCTGGGAGAGTCCACCTTGGGTGGATGGGAATCTGCAATGCATCCAGCTCGCGGATCAACTCCGCCTTGTTCATGCGCCATGGTGAAGTCGGCACCGCTGACATGGTCTGGCAGCCTGGGCTGCCAACGTTGGGGAGAGCTAGTTGATCTTGGTTTCTGAAAACGGCTACGTCCAATCCATAGTCCACCAGCATGCTTGAAGTGCGATTCATTGTGTTCTGCATTCCAATCGCTGACTAACCGAACATGTTGAAGACCTTCTGAATGACATGGTATGAGGTCAGTGATTCTCTCGCTTCCAATCATGTCCAACAAACGACCTTTCAGATCTTGCAAAGTTGTATTCCAAAATGAAGGATTGAATGCTTCTTTTCGGGGAACCACATGTACTCTGATCATTTCATTCGAGTTCTCCACCCAAAAATCTCTGCTTTGGTTCGCGCTCTTCCACCACATGAAAAAGGATGAAGGAGAAAGATCAGGATCTTGAAGCATGTTGTTCACAGTCGTTGAAATCTTCTTTGGGAAAAATAATGGCCTAAAACTTTGTGCACTCCCGCCCCCTGCATGAATCGGCTCAGCCATGTATTGCTCGACCACAGAGCTGTCACAGAGTTGGACCTCCGGATCGCTGCTCCAACGGAACTCAGATCCGTAGCTTGCCCTGTCACCAATGTCAGTGACCACAAAAGCAGGGTGTCCAGTTTCTGACACGGCCATCTCTAAATCAAAAAGCCCTAAATGTGTCAAATCTGCCCTTTGAGCTCCTACACGGTAAACCATGCCAAGCTTTGCAAGAACTGTGCGGCTAAACAAAAGTGGGACCCTACATTGGACTATGGCTACCTTCACGCGGATCCACTTGCCGCCCACTCCGAAGATGGCCCAAAGTGCAAACATGGAAGGGTGGATTCTCGATGCACCAAACTTGAACTGATCCTTCTCCTCGACTATCTCGATGGGAAGGCCACGATCGTCTGCCCAACGACAATAGTCTTCATACCATTGATGTCCTGCCACCGTCTTCGTGCAGGCTGTGTCTGCAATGGCCAGCGCGCAGGGTCTCTCACCTCCCCCGACACGCTGGCCACCATCACCAGCATTGCCCGCCATGAAGACCACGGTCTCGCACTCGCCATAGGTCTCTTCAGGAGTGTCCACATAGGCAGTCATATAGCACATCTGCACGTGGTGGGTGCACATTTGCGCACTCTTTGCACCCTCAGCCGCGGCACTGCTCCGCGAAGTTCCTTTCAAAGGGCATTCGGGATCTCGGTGCCAATGCCCCTTTCGCTTGCATGCTGAGCAGTAGCTGCGCGCCTTCGCAAGGCGCAATCTTTCTTCACTCCTCTTCTTCATCTCTTCCCGGTCCATGCCTCTGCCCTTCATTGCCTCACGATAGCGAGACTTCGCATCCTGGAAAGCCATGAATGCACTATGCAGTCCCGATGCCACCTCTTCCTCAACCAGCTCCGCATCGGACTCTTCCTTGTCGTCCCATGCACCTCCAGCGTCTCCATCGTGCTCATCGCTCCAGGCATCGTCTCCAGCGGCCGTCACATGCGCTGATTGCTGCTTCCAACGCCCCCCATTGCCAGGGCGTTCCCACGATCGTCGTGCGACGCCCCGATCATGGATGATGGCTGCCTGCTGCAGGCAACGAAGGTCGTACTGGTTGTTCACAGATGCTAAGAGTGCCAGCTCGTCGCTCTCCCCCAACTTGAGACGGTCGAGGTAGAGCCAAGCTTTGACAAGGGCTGGCAATTCGCAGTTCAGCTCTCCAAGGCGCAACAACAAGCGCTCAAACTCCATGTTGAAGTCCCTCACCGCCTGCTCTGGCTTGCGGCGGCACTTCTTGAAGAGCTCCGTCATGACTGATGCCACTTTGTTCACTTCCATCTCCATGAAGCGGATTCTGACCCACTCCAAATAGTACTCAACACCTCCATTGGCCCCAAGTCGATCCAAGTCCAGCTCCTCCGCAAAGACCCAAGCCCGGCCCTTGAGGTGGGTGCAGAGCGCCAAGCCACGCTCGCGCTCGGGGAGCTTGGTGCACCGCAGCCAGGCCCCAACCTTCCTCAAGTATGAGCGAGCGGTGGTGCCCAGCTCATTTTCGCCACCATCGCCATCGAACTCAGGGACCACCATCTTCTCCGTCGGCTTGCCCGAAGCGCCATCGTCTCCGGTCCGCCATGATTCACCCGCTGGGGTGCTACTGCCTCCAACCCAGCGACCATCCAACGCCCAAGTAGTTTCTTCAACCCGGGCCACCTTCTCATCTCGCCTCGGCTCCCAGTCGTGGCGCCAGTCATCCCAATGCCAGCTCCACCAATCACCATAGTGACGGTCGCCCCACCAACTCCCCGGAGTCTCGTGCGACCATCTGCCCCAGTGCTCGCTCTCACCCTGCTCATCATCATTCCTACTATCCAAAGCCTCAGGCCGTGGTCTCTCACGGTCAGGCTCACTCTCTTCATGTTCTTCAGCAACGTCGCCATCGGCTCTATGACCCCCGCTCGCCACGGGGCTAGGACCAGCTGGTTCCTGCCCACTCCCCCGAGCACGGGTCCTGCCGCTCGTCCATTGCTGGACCATGTGATGCCGTCTAAGGTGTCAAGCAGGTCTAAGGGGTAAATGATGAAGTTGGGTAGCCTAAGAAGACGTGAAGGTCACCGTAGAAGTCCGCAGGAACGTGCCTGCTCCGCCTACCAATGTCGAAGTCACAGCACTGCAAATGCCATGTGCCCACCTTTTCTACCTGAAAGTCAAAAGCTGCCTTGTGCCTGAATAGCAGCCAGTCAGGTCAATTGGCTGATGAAATGTTGTGAAAATGGTTGCACCAATATGTGTGCATGGTAAACACGAATTGCATTCACAGGCTCGTCAATCATCATATTCCCTCTCAAGAACAACCATGAAATGGGTTTAACAAGGCCATACCCGCAAAAAATACCGGTGAATCATTGTTTTCCCAAGAAAATTACCCTCCCAGCGCATGGCCTCGTGAAAACCACCATGGCACCAGGGTTTTGAGCCCTAGCCACAGACCCAAATCGGTTAGATATGTCTTGTTTAAATCCCCATACCCTCTGGTAAACGTTTACATAACTCTGGAAAATCACTTTTTCCAATGGGTAAATCAACGAACTAAATGGCCATGGCTTCAATCGCTTTTTCTATGTTTACCAGGCCGGGTATTTCTTGGTTGAATCACTGAAATCCCCCATTTTTGGGATCATTTTGGGTGGATGAAACCCACAGGAAAATCCACCAATCTGGTCATTGTGGTGACCTCATGGTTTCCAGCAGCTCCTTGCCAGCTTCACTTAAGGCAAGGCTTGCACCTGAGAGGCCGCAGTTGGTCACATGGGGTTCACAGTGTCACAGTCACCTGATGATTTTCTGTGGGAAAAAAAACAAAAAAATGCAGCTTTGATTGGGAAGATGGTCAAGTAGCAAATTCTTAGGATAGCCTCTGGTCATCTGGCATAGCCATTGAAAATTCATAGGTAAATCATCTATGAAATTGGTGATTGTGCATTGCTACGATGATCTATAATGTGGTAAATCCAACAATCAACCATACCCGATGACTTACCAGAAATAGACGGTATATATAAACCATCTCCCAATTGAGTCAGTTTATGGCATTGGGTTTACCTCATTCATCACAACACCATGATGCACCCGATTGCATCGGGGGATAATCCTAGGAAGCGTTGCGATTTGGTCATTGTAGTGTTTAAACATTACCCTCTGGTAAACTAACATAACCATGCAAAATCACCATTTATAGTGAGTTGTTCCATTAAAAATGGTGATTTTCCATCATAGTTATGTTAGTTTACCAGAGGGCACAACAGAATCCACAAAAAACTCTACTCATCAACCCCAGGGTGAACCCTGCACTGGTTCATCATCATTGTTTCCCATGAAAAATAGCCGTTCCACTGGATGGGGTACATCATCCCATGTCCCCCCTGCAAACGGATGCTTATTCCACCATGGCCTTGCTACAGTATATCCCCAAGAGGAGGAAAGATCCAACCACCCCCGGGGAATAGGAGTACCCTCTGGTTATGACTAACATAGCCATGGTATAGATGGCCCATTGATAGATGGTTTACCTATTAATAGCATGGTGATTTTCCATGGCAAACTGTTGAAAAACCAGATGGTATCTTCGATAATACACTCCAATCAAAAATTGTGTGTTCTTGATGACGCCTCCAGAAAGAGAACTGATACGAAAGCCCGTTATAAATAAATCTGAAAGTATATCCCACTACAAACTAATCATGACAATATGGTATCGCACTGGTATATCCGAGTATACTATTCCATGTTGTTAGTAGATTGGTATGTCTCATGAGTATATTCCATATAGTATTGGACGGTTATTATTGAATATACCTCGTTCATCCATTGGTGAAGCCCAAAAAAAAAACTGACACCAAACCTCATTACATATCAATCACAAATCCATTAGAAACCGCTACCTATAGAAGTGACTACCTATGAAATATCTATGTCCCAGTAGATCACACTTACCTATGTGGAGGTTTCTTAAAATAGGGGTACCACTAAATCAGCCATGTTGATAGGATTTTCCCTTTTACACCATCCATTTGGGGGTACCCCCATTTATGGAAACCTCCATATGTAATACTAATATACATTTTATAGTGAAACAGGGGGTCGAACCAGAAACCCAAAAGGTGGGGTACCAATCCGCCAAACCCTGCATACAAACAACAAACAAACGCCTTTTCTGGTAGGCGCTTGAGCCATAGGGTCGTTAGCGTATAACCTAAACCCCAACTCAGGTGGTTGTTAGAATTGGGGGCTACACCTAACTCTACCTAAGGCTACTCTACCTATGTAACGCTTCTACATAGGTAGTGCTACAGCTGTACATATCGGGGATATCTACTTTGGGTATGATGGACTCATAGCTAAGGCATACCTCTACTAGACCTACCTGCACATGCTATACATGGTGGGGCTCAGGGGTCGATATATTTCAACTCCCCCCTCGCCTGTTCCACACGCACTGCGCATTGGCAGGCATCTAAGCAACTACTGTCGCGTGAACGGATGTTCACAGCGACCTATGCTTTGGATTTAAGGTCTAAGGGAAGGTCAGTACGGATTCCTAAAAGGATTAGTGCTGCTGCCCATTTATGTGGAGGCAATGCCTTGGTGAATATGTCTGCCGCCTGATCATCCGTATGGGTGTACTCTATTTCGGCAGAGTCATCTCGGAAGACTTCAGACAGGCAAGACAGGTTTACTTTGTGCGTTCTAGTTATATGGCGAAGCTTGGGACTATATCCTTTCTTCACTACTAGGATTGTTGCTTGGTTATCTTCGTGGACCTTAAGGGTTACGGAGCGTGCAAGCAACAGCTCCCATAACTGTAAGGCAGGCAAGCCTTCTTGATAAAGCGAATGGGCTAAACTAACAACCTCGCTTTCCGTGGTCGATCTAGAAGTGGATGTTTGGCGCTTGCTAATCCATGCAAGTGGGAAAAAGGAACTAGGGCCAGTTAAAACCAGAAAGCCACCAGAGGTTGAGCGTGCAGTTGATCTGTCGCCGGCGAAGTCGGCATCGACAAACAGTCTGAGCTCTAGGTCTTCAGGCTTGTCCTGAATGGTACCTACTAACCTATAGTGTGGGGTTGAGGCTATATACTGGATTAATCTTAGGACCTTCTTATCATCCCCCCTGGACCACGACTGGACTTTTGTGGCCAGATCATTGATAGGCTTGATAATGTCGGGACGTGCAAGTCTACCTAACCAAAGGGCTTTCATCAAAATCTTACATGCATTTGGAGCTAGTTCCCCTTTAGTTTCATCATCTTCAATGGTGATGGATCCCTCAGGTGGAAATGGCGTGGTGGCATGCTTGAGTTTGGTGACACCAGTTATTGACTTATACAAATCTACGGTCTGCTGAGCGTAGTCTGCCATATCAAAAACCATGCCATCTTGGGCTTGGAAGGTTGCACATTTTTCATGACCTTCGGTCTTGGATAGTGGGGTAACAACATGGTTGCGTCCAAGAATCCTATAGATGGGCTCTGGGGGTTCAATGTCTACCACAGAAGTTAACTTACTCCAGAATGCATCATGCTGGTCGGCGGGGCCAGCTAGAGTTAAATCGTCTACATAAGTTGACAGAAGTAACTTTGTATCTGGGAAGAAAAAGTTTCCTGGGTATTCCGGAACTTCCTGTCCACCAAGGTTCTTGATGATGACTTTCAAGTGTTGTTCCCACAGGCCTCCGGCATCAGGATGACCGTATAAGGCTTTAATTAAGAGGACTACGGGCTTAACAAACTGTTGCTTCCAATACTTAGGGCGGAGCTCCGGGGGAAGCTCAATCCAAGTCTTGTATTTGGAAGATAACAGTGCTTGGACGTAAGCTTTGACTGCATCTGCAGCCGTCGCGCGGTTACCCGGCAGCGACCCGTACGCCAGGCAGGCGTTTAGCCCTTGGACGGAGGTGGGGTTTGCGCCGAGTTCTTGGTAAACCGCGGCTGCACCATGTTCGTCCTTTGCGCAGTCTCCTCTGTACACGATGCGCCCCTTCATTTTGTGAAGGTGTTCCGCGAGCTCGTGGAATTTAATGGACGCGATGGTCATGAGCTGACCAAAGTGTACTGACACACCTGAAGCCTTAGCTTCTCTGCGCACATCTTCCTTTTCGCGGACCGAGCTAAGGTCCCAGGTACCAGCCTTAACAAAACCATCGGCTTCGGCGCGGATTGCCTCGAGGGCCTTGGGATTGGACAGCATCTCTGCACGGGATAAGAGCTTAGTGACCATTGCTTTGATCTCAGGCGTTGGCGCCTTAGGGTCTTCCAGGTGGAAGGCTTGAGCGATCAATTGTTCGTGGTCAAGAAGTTCTGTAACCAACCTATTAGCGGTGGGGTCTGATTCAACAGCTAGGGCTAAATCTTCAAAACCAGCTAATGGGGATACGTGCTTAAGGTGCTGCTCAATTTCCCTATGGGGTTGAGGCTCGCTGGTTGCCGGTCGGCAAGGCATAGCAGGAACGGACTGCTGGGCACATTTTGAGGGATACAAAGCTTGCGCAATTAAACTAGTCATTTGGGGCGGATACATTGCGGAGCGAGTGGTCTCAGCTCCCTCACATCTGGAATGGGGTTGCTGGCACCGACACCGCATATCTTGAAACGCCTCTACAATTCGGGGAGAAGTGGTCTTGAGTTTCCATGGCTTTTTGATGGGAAAACCATTTCTGTCGGTTAAACCTACGGTACACCCTTCAAAACCAACGGTCATAAACTGGGGATGCTTCTCAAAGAATGCTACAACGTCAGGCCTTTTCCAGCCAGAGCAAGGTCTTGGCCATTCAAACGTTACAGTACCGCCATGATTGAGAACCCTTTCAGCGCGTTTGGAAAAACTCTTAAACAACCGTTTGGACTCTTTGACCTGGTGGGCAAGCTTCCTCATGAATGCGGCACCACCCTTCTTCCTATTGATGTACTGCCAAGGGGATCCGGATGTGCAAGGGATAGAGGCCCACATATGTGGAGGTGCAACTTTAGCGGCTTCATCTAT